GACTGATTAATAGAACCCAACAACTTATTTCGGAAACTGATTAGAAGAAGATAGAAGAAGATGCGTGTATATGTATATATCTATCGGTGCTCAAGAAATGCATTTAAAAAAAATATGTCTTCTACTCAATTCATTCGAAATATATATCTGTAATATGTATTTATTATTCAATTAACATCTACCGAAACATCACCTTTGTTGCTCGGCGAAATCCGAAGCCCTTTTGGCATTTTTTGGAGATGATAATAGGGTCCTAAACCATGAAACCTGAACACAGCTCCTGCTCCATGATTTTCTAATGAAAAAAGCCAGCGATCTCAATAGCATACTGATTTAATAGAGGGGATATTCACACTAATTAAAAAAGCATACCGAGTCATCAGCAAATTTTCACGAGGGCGATGATGCTTAATTGCACTCGAATAGGTTAAGCAGAGGTCTCAAGTTAGGGTTTATTATGACAGCATATTCCTTATTTATGCAAAAGCATCGTGCCTAGGTATAATTTAGAGTGTTACTTTTGTATATAGAATCGAGTATATACATTGATGGAGTCTCTACAGTGAACTTTGATGTGCTCTGATAAAATAGATCAACAGACTAAAACTGAGCCTGCCCTAGACTAGCTAAATTTTAAAAACAATCGTTAAACGAAAATTTTTGCAAACAAAATGTTTTTTTTAGAAAAAAACGTACGCTTGGAAATGGAAAGTGGCTTACGTTCAAACAACGAATTGGCCAAGGCGCAAAAATAGAGGAATCACGCACCTGCTTCAACCATTACAAAATATTGCCTTGTATCCTATGTTTTCTTGTTATGGTTTGACTTTGGTCATAAGAAATAGCTGAATAGTGAGAGAAAGCACCAGATCTTCGTGCAAGCTTTGTTTAAAGAGATGTAACCGATACTAGCTTTTGTAATGCTTTAGTGCTTTTTCTCAAGTGTTTTGAAATTTTTAATATTGCGCTAAATATAATCGATCTTTGATTGTATTTTAAGCTCCAACTATTATATTTACAAATAAATCTTTACGATTAGCCGCAACAAGATCCTTAAGGTTGTTGCAATTCCTAAAAAAAAACTATCTTTGTAAAAAATTGTAAAAAAAAAATTAAAAAAAAGGAAAAAATAGTAAAATTTTTATTATTGATACCCCACAATTAGTATTTTCAACTAACGGAGAATTGAAGAAATCCTGTAAACAAGATGTTTCGTTCATTGTTGCTTCGTAAGCAATCTTTGGTTCTGGCTTTTGTCAACCTATTGATAAAGATCATATAATACTGAATCTCAAACAGTTGGATCGAGTCGAAACTCCTTTGCTCTAGGATCACACGTAGTGACCCAAAGTGGCCTTCCCATTTTCTAGCCGACCCGCCACTGCTGTCCAAGGAATGACGTCGTCACTTTGAGCTCTCAGCAACGGAAGTCTTCAGAACGAACTTCAAACTGACTGCAAAAATTCGCGGAGGTTGAAAGGTTTTTTTACTTCGGATAGAATGGGGAACAATGAATAGAGAAAGCCAAGTCGATTAAACATGTTGCCATTCGCTTAACCGTGTATGGGTTCCACTATAGACTCTGCTGGGAAAAAGGTTTCCACCAACCTGAAGATACAAACCGGTGCTCCAGACCCCGAGAAATTATGATAGATATCGTGCCATTCGTTACCCTTTGATACCATCCTTAAGATGTCTGGTAAATCTCTTAAACTAGTTCCAGTTCAAAAGAACCCATGCAACACATATGATGCAACAAGTTCTATTTTATCTACTTTCTCTGATATTGGGATATCGTGTTAAAATATGTATAAGTTTTTGGCCACTACCAGCAGAAGTGAATTTATTAATTTTATTAAATTTGACTGAATGATAATAGCATCTACAAATCGTTACAAACCGACACCTTACATTGTAAATATATACAACATCCAGAGTCCACAGACAAATCGTCTGTTTCATACGAGTGCAATATCGCAATAAAAAAGGAGAAGCGCCTTCATCATCACTGTTCCCACCAGTCAGAGCCGTAGCTGCAGCAACATTAGCATCTAAGAGAGCCAACCAACCAACCAACCAATGTGTACCAATGAAAAAATGGTGTTATGAAAATGCGACAACCTGGTAGAGCGATACTTGAACGTGACTTTCTCTACAAACGGCCAACTGGCTGAATCTGTCGGGTCGACGTAGACCAGCAACGATAAAAGATTTGATTGTTGGCAACAGCCAGAAAGATGGAAGAGAGTTACCGACAACTATGAAGCCTTCGTTTTTGCTAACGTCAGTGTCAATGTTAATATTGCGGTAAGAGCAGTTACAGTCAGTTTAACTAAATAGCTATGTTGCTCAGGGTCCGAAGGCTGCGCGTGTAAGATATATTTACACTGAATTCGGCTGTCTCGCATAGTTTAGAGGAACCTTTGTATGGATTTTGCGTTACTTTCCTCTCAGAATCGTTTGATCCTACTGTTACTAGCGGTGTTCTTGCAAATATTCTAATAAAGATTTGCTACAACTAAATTGATTCCTATAGCAGCAAACACAATAATAACAAAATTGGTAACGCAAAGGATAGAACAAACACAAAATAGCTGTCATCGTTGCTATCGACGTTCATACGGTAAGCTGGGTTCATTAGCACATGTCACCTGAACAGCGAATGTTAGTGAAGAAAATCTTCTCCTACATTCTAAAGTAGATGGATAATAATGACTCAGTCCATAAGCTTACCGCAGAAGTGAAAACCCTCAGGAGACACGTTATTTGAATATTGCTCTTGTGCTCCTTACTGATCATCAAAACTGACTCTTCATGCAATGAACGTTATCCAGCTCTTGAAAATGCTGAGTGTAATAGTAATGATATTCCAAGAAGCAAAATGGTGGCCAATGACGGACGGAAATATATAGATACATCGGCTGGCGGCTGCCAGCTGAATTCTGACACTGTATTAATCGATAAAAAGTGCACAATAATCTCATTCTTGTGACCACAGCCGCTACAAGCGCGATGTTCAGTCTAATTGGCAACTCCCAAATGACTAACCGCAAATTGTGGTATCTACCTAGTTTAATGAGATCGTCTTCCACAGACCAAAATTACCTATTAGACATACAAGCTATATAGTGATTGTCGCTGTTACCGATTCGTCGGTATGGTATTTTAAACAAACAGACATTGCTACAAAAAGCCTAACATTTCCAGCAAACTATAAAATTCAGATTAATTTTTTGAGGGGCTAAGTTCTATTAGGTATTAATTATAACTGGAATAGTTTTACAGTGAACCGATAATTTCCCACAGAAAACTCGTTGCAAGTCATACTCTAGTGAATAATGCACAAAGTAAAATATTTACTGTACGACACTTCTATAAAAATTCATTTGCAAAGGGGTATGTTGTGTGTGAGCAACTTATATGTAACAAATAGAAGTCTACATTGTTGATTAGTTTCGTGACTTGACCTTATTGGTGCGCCAACCTAGAAAGTCCCGTAAACTTCAGCAAAAAAATATTAGCCTATATCTATATATAACCTTATATCTATCCATATGCCTCACATAGTCACGTATCCTTCCACGTTTTGTCAACGCAAAGCGCCTCCATACCCAAATAATGTACTGATCAACATCCTCCACCCCGCTACTGATTAGTTTGGGTGGAAAAATGACCAATGTGTAATCCTCTTGTCTCGCTTGAACAAAGTAAACCGCTGCTTCGGTAATCGCCTATATGAGATGCTATCGTTACGTTCCATCGCTGTGAATCCCTCAACACCAGGGAAGTGCACTTTTTCCTTCTATTGACAACAATGAGTTTCGTGATGGTGAATAAGAGACGGGTAGCCGAAGTTAGTAATGCAGGAATGGACAGCGCTACCTTGTGCTAAAAATGACCGGCCACAATGAACAATAGAAATATCCAGCTAAGCCACTAGCGCTCCATCGTTGTAGACGCTTCAATGTCTTCTCAAGATGTTTCATGCAGAATCATTCCTACCGCTATGATGCTGGTGGTAGAGTTAACTACCCGTCGTTGTGTTGTCCCCTGTGAGGCAACGAAGGGCAGTTGTAAAACCACATAGAATATCGCCTTTAAAGGCAATCTATGCTTGGGCAGGCAATGCCACAGAGAAATCGCATCGCCTGTTCTTTGAGGGCGGAGGCGAAAAGATGATATTGCACAGCCCTTTCTGTTGTCCAAAGCTGGGAAGCTGTCAATATTGCCAATATTGGGAAACGGCTTTACTAGGACACTCCTACATTGCAATACACACCGATGGACTGCTAACTTGAGACAACGGAACGGATGACAAGTGTTGGAACCACTTTGGAGCCTTCAAGTATAACTCGCTCAAAGGTTTTCTACATGCTGACTGGCTGGCAAGATAAAACATCATTGTACATTCTTGAAAATCACGAAGTCGCTGAGGCTCCACCATACGTTCAAAACGAATTCAAGACTTCCAAACCATATTAACCGCAGGACGAATCCGTCGCGGCCTATCTATATATATATATATATATATATATATATATATACATATATAGTTTTTGTACTGCGCTAGCAGGAACTTAATTTTTACTCTTATTAAGTGTAAACCCATTTATTAAATGGAGAAATTCGGAAAACAAGACAAAGCTGCCTTTCTTGCAACTTCATTATTAGGAACTGCGCAATATGTATATATGTATACCACTGTATAGATTAATCTGTTAAGTTAAAGCAGAGCGTGATGACTCTACTGCGTGTCCGATCTGGATTTACAAGTGTTACCATTGCACAGTTCAATGCGAAGAGAGTACTATTAGTGCAGAAAAGTACAGTAACGGAATAAGGCAACTGCTACTTCGAACACCAGTTTCCTATCCAAACTTAAAATCTTTATTCAGACAGTACCTCACTGGCTGTGCTCACACTGCACAGCCGCTGAGGCGCGTGGAAATTTGAAGAAAGATCAATAACTGCGACTGACACATTGCCTGATACAAACTTACATTTGCAATGATAACTCCACCTTCTTCGACGTTGATACCAATGCCTGGCTCAAAGTAGAGACTCACTCCTGGATGCACAATCATAATTCCGCCCTGGCCAACAATAATATTGTCCTGAATGCGATATTCCGTGTCCGACTTAGGATACTCCATTGTACGGTTTCGCACTTCCAATGCATCACATCCCAAAGTTAAAAATGGTCCCATCGTAACCACATGCAATAGTACCGTTACGAATAGAGTTTGAAATAAACGCCATCGGTTTTCCCGCCTATGCGCAAGACAAAACGCTGCATTAGGCACACGCGCACTTGAAAGAGTATTGGTCGCCATTCTTTTTGTATTCATAAATGATGATTGCGTAACATATCTTTCACTACATGTGATTGTGTGGCGTAGCGACATGTCGATAGCCGAACTGAAGGTAGGTTTTCCAGAGCGATTTCTTCGAAGATGAAAACCTGTACTTCGGGTTGCTGGTTCTATGAATGGCATACCCCCCTGAAAGAGTTCAGCCTTAATTTGCTCTTTAGCTGTATAGCTATGTACACCATTTTTCATTTTTGCCGTCTTTACTATCGTACGTCACCCGTCCATTCGAAGATAGCCGATAGAACGTCTCCACTGACACAACTCACCAGGCAAATCGCCCGCCCTTCTCCTACAAGATCAGTTTAGCTGATCTAAAGAAAATGCAAAACCGTTCAAGTTTTACATATCTGAGAAAATCCTTCTAAACGATCTTTGTAAATGCCTAACTGAAAAAACTAGAGCAATCATATATGCCAATATTGATTTTCGTCTCCTGTACACATGCCGTCGTTTGCATATATGTATGTACAGAAATTCGAAATTCTCGCAAACCAAATTTACTCACTCCATAGGGGATTCGTTATCAGCCACGAACCGCCGCAGAATTTCACAAGAACGCCACGGTTTGTGTATTAGACTTTGTTAGTTATTCGGTATGCTGGCACTTGTGCCGCCGACAATCGTTAACTTATTCTCTGTATCGGTGGACAAAACGTTTGAAATATGCGCCCCCCCAAAAAACGAGCTCCAGCTCCAGTTAACGAACAGAACCCTTCTTCACTTCCGCCTTATTCATTGCATCGATTAATGTATACTTATACACACTGATATCTTTCGAGATACTTTGACAGTTTAGTGCCAATGGCGGAAAAGCGTATAGTAGACCCGACATGCGCGTGCGCATCAACTAATAGGAGCACGACACCATCGAAAAGGTTACACGATGCACACATATGACGAAGATTTGTCCTCTTAACGAGTATATGGGCTAGTTGCACAGCAGCATGAAAATAGTGACGCCTAGATGTAATCGGCTTTCGAACTGGCAGTGAACAAACACATTCACAACAGCAGTCCATGTGCTTCTGCATACGATACAATATGTCTGCTACACAGTCTATTATATAACCTTTGCGAGTTATTTTGTGCCCTTCTGGTGCTGCTGCTTTTTGTCAACTTTTGTGGGTTGACTTTAGGCTGGGTTGTTTCCTTGGATAATCATTGCGCCGCGCGCTGTGAGTCTTTGCCTGATGTTCGTCGGACAAACGGGATGACTATCGTGGCGCTGGTGGTAGCCAGATAGTAGTCATATAGTCCCGATTGTGACGGACGTCAGATGCTTTTGGCGTTGGCCTGTCCGGCTCACCTGTTGTCGTGCCGCGCTAGCTTCTGCTGTTGTGGCAATTCCGTTCTGCTCTTGCGATTGCTGCTACTACGACCCGCCTCCTCACTCCCCTCGCCCCTCGATCGTTAAGCATAGACACCAACACAACGACATTTCGTAGCACGAAACGGCAACGCGATGGCGCTGCTTGCGGCACTACATGGTAGAACAACGAAAGGCGACGACGTGCTACGAATACGAGTTACGAGTGAACACCGACGGGCAGCAGCTGTATCAAGAACAACCACTTATTGCCACGGACGGCGTTCCGGCGATCAACGACAACAACAAACCACCATGAATAGCTACTACTGCCGGCATAAGCCAATACCAACATCGCCACAATTATTACTACTACGAGCGTCATTGGAGCAGCGATAGACGGTAGTTTTTGTGCTAGTGTGCTTCAGTTGCTATTATGTATAGAAAAACGTAGCCGTCTAGTTGACGACAGTCTAGGAGCACGATCGGTCGGCAGCGACTGCATTAGGAGAAACGGTGAAGTGGCATTCACTATAACGATAATGACGATGCCGTCTGAGGTCGGTCCCCAGAGGTGTCGACCACTCAAACGCCGCAGTTCAGCGGTGGCACAATCACCAGAGGAGCTGTTTACGCAGATGGTGATGCTGTTGCGATTTCGATGTCGACAGTTCCTCCTGACATCACCACAGGTCATCCTTTCTCCTTACTCGGCCAGTTGGGTTTTTTCTCCTCTCTCTTTCCACATTACCGTGTTCGTTAGGCACATTGAGCTCCTATTTATATTCATTTTTCGGCATCTGGGAGTATTGTTAATTCAAAGGTTTGACCTTCCAAATTCGATCGCGATTACACACTATTCTTTATGAAAAAGAGATAACGAACAACTTTTCTTGCATACGCAGCAACATAATGAATTAAACTGTTTACAGATATCGCTCAGTTCAAAGCGAAGGTTTCAGAAAAATTGAGTAGTTCCCTGTATGTAATGACTAAAATCATTGGAAGAAAGGTCGATAACAAGGGGTATTTACCTACGACGAACACTAAACATGTCTATCGGTGATCACTTGACGTAAACTCCTAAGGAACAACCTACAATATAGTGAACTATACTCGTCCGTTCGACTTAATTCAGAATTTGATTTTAAGTGGGCCATATTTCTCCCGCCCTTTAATAAATACAAGTAATGCCCTTGATGAGAGTACCGCGCTTCAAACGTACTGCGAAAACATTCAGCGTCGTCATGGAAACGGTTTGGAGCATTTCACTGTGGTTTGGGAGAGCATCCGCTGCTTTGGAAAGTGAATAAACTTTTTTTCGACCTAAGGGAAACGACTTTTAGGTCAGGCATACGAATACAGTTTCATACAAACACATAAATGTAGATATTTTGTATATTAAACTCTAATACGCTAAACCACCATCGGGCAATTTTTCATAAATGTCTATGGTTTATAATTTACCAATAATGGAGTTCCTAAATAACGGAGACTCTACAAATGATAAAAAAAAAGAGTGGTATAAATCGATATATTTTCTCAGCCGACTTGTTTTATATATATATACAATATAACTATAGACATATCAATATGTTCTAAAGCAGCCATTCCAAAGAGATCCAGCTTATCTATCATACTTAGTTATATTTTAGCAGAAGATATCTAGTTGGTGCACAACCGATCCCACGAAACCATTTATGGATTTACATATCGAAATATAAAACCCTCGTAAATAAACTATTTGGTACGAGTAATACAGCAATATATTATATTTCCGTTACTTGAAATAATTAGCAATTAGGGCTATGTGCTCCGTTTTAGACGAGTGCATGCTTATGCAAGTAGTAACATTCACATATTTGTCATGTTAATTGTACATCTATTGTTCAGAGAAGTACTAAGTGAAGATACCCATACTTGCTGCGATCTATAATCAGAACATGTGTAACATTTTTTGCATCATTTATTCAGTACAGCATTTCAGTCACCACTCTTAGGGTAATACGTACCTTGCTAATCAGTCAAACTGTTCGACGAATTTGTATCAAGATCCTACTCATGATTAACTGCTCAATTATTACACGTTGTGTGTTTTAGCTTCTGTTGGAACTTTTTAAGATACAACAAGACAACTTGCACTGCGGACAACTGCTTTAGAAATATTAACCAAGGCCCATATAGGTATTGTACTTTTGCCGTGATTGTTGACAGGTTGCGGAAACAGTTTTTATCTAGCTGATGAATAAATAGCCAAAACATCCGGATTTAAACATCTGTCTTTCTCCTTCAGAGTCATCTGGTGCCATATCCGACCTGTATTATTAAACGTATTATAAAATAGAATAGTTGTCCGATGACAACTGATGCAAATTAAGCTCAGTCTTCTGGGCGAATGACCCAGATACCTAGTTCCACCACTGGTCATCAGGTCTTCACTACTTAAGTCATACGTGATATTTTAGTTGCGCTATGTTATTATAAAATATATATTAATTGAGAAGTCTATGGTTTGCCACCATTTGATCTAGGGAAATAAATGCGCATACCACTGCATCCTAAAAGTAACAATCTTGCTATATAATAAAGAACTTGTGTTATTATGCTCTAGTAATTATGCTCTGCAAAGCCTATCTCTTATATCTTGCTGGTTATAGATGCAGATAAAACAACCATACTTTAGAAGCTCTCTATTTAAACTAACCATTATGGGCTTTTGCTTCCCAGCGCGTAACTTTTAGCTTTAAAGCATGTGATTGAGTAAACAAACTTTTTTATTTTAGCTCTTATTTAGGCTACGCGATTAATTTAACAAGGTTTATTGATTTATTTATGCGTTTATTGATTTAATAGCAATGAATTGAGTTTTGCTTATATATATATATATGCATTTTATAACATTTGATGTCTCTCTCTCTCTACTCTAAATTGATTCAAAAAGTAGGTTGGCCTAAAAGGCCCCGATTTTTCACGAAGTATTCTTCCTTAATATTGTAATTACTACATTATGCATTACTAACTAATAGGTTAATAAATACGTGCCTATCGTTTCCATATTTTTTGTTGTTCTGTATTGTATGGTAAAGTATGAACATGCTTAAGCAACATATCGTAGGCTATAACAGAACCCTTACCTGCAGCCCTATGGAGGTGTGATGTGAAGATTAAAAAATACTACCGATATCAATTTGGTTTGATACTCTAGGTTAGTCAACTACACAAGTCTTCATTATGGAGGCTTACTTGGAATTGTTTTATTCAAGGTTGATAATATTCATCCGAACCCAACTCGCCTTCGCACGATCATACCTAAAGATTGAAACATGGTGAACATATGGTACACAAATTATAATGCCTGTTCTAAAAAAACTGCGTAAGGTCCGTGCAAGCCCCTGTACAAGTAACGCATATTACCATGGTGGTATGATATATATATTACAGGTTAAATGAATACTGTAGGACTGTCGGTACAGTCATGCAAGATCGTGCACGCTCTGTCGTCGGATGGCAAAATTACGTAGTGATTACTGTTCTTAAATCGCCCCTAAACATATTAAGCTTTTATTGATAACGCAACTAAGACGTACTTTCCCTGCACTTCAGTTGGGCAAAGTACGTCGAAAATAAGGGAGACCCATGTACAGTTTGAATCTAGAGACACATCTAAATCAAAAATAAAAAGTCGAGGCCTTTCAAAATGAGTACAACTCGTCAAACTTAATCAATGCAAAGGTTATTTGATAAATTCAAGATTTACCTGTCAACCTCTTGAACGCCGTCGCACTCTACAACTAAAAAAAGATCGCTGTTTGGGTTGAAGACTCTGACGAAGTCCTGCATCATACCTTGCCTTCAACCATCACAAAAATGACATACGAGATTACAATTTATTTGTATTTTTATGTGCACACATAAAGGGAAGACTTCAGCAAATATTTTGTGGTCGTTTAACCGATCTACAAGGATGAATATAGTAAATTTGCTCACATACGTAAAAAATCTCATTTTGTAGATCCTTATTTTTTATATAAACATCTCATTATAAGATTTCCAGTATTAATTGCCTGGTTAGCTGGTTAGATGGAAAAGAAAAGCCATTTCCCACCGATGTGAACATAGAGCATCTGAAGATACAAGAAAGGGGACCAGTAAAATAAACGTTGTGATTTTTATTATAAAAGAACGCATTTTAACAGTTGTTTCTAAATCGTTGAACTTCGTAAACAATCGTTTTTAAATCTTTAAACCTTAACGTATCAAAAGAAAAAAATCTATGCGGATAGTATGTGTAGATATATCGTCTAAATGAATGTAATTTTATCACTTTATCACTTTTGCTTCAGTTGCCATAACACTTTTCACATATGTTTAAAGAAAAACCTATGGCTATTCGTAGGCCACGTAATAAGCTAAACTATAATATAATTTTGACAATAAATACAGGTTAATGGTTACACAATACGCAAAGTAAGCAGCTTGAGTTCCTGCCTTTCATGTTATGGTGACGAGCTTCACCGAAATTCGCCTTTGATTAACATTCAACGGAGCCTAAGCAACAGGTTACAGGGTCTGAGCGGCTCTCCAAAATGTCCACATGACGAGATTGTTTTCAAAGTTCGTAAGCACTTGTATGAGACACCCTAATATGATTCGATTCTCAGATTGAAGGCCTAGAGACATGGGAGGGCCTCACGGAAGTTTTGTGACCATGTTCCCGAAGAGCTAAACTTGCCAGAAAGACCCTTCTATTGCTGCTAAAAATAGAAAAACAAAATGCTCAGGCACTTTGTGCAAATGACGCAGGCTTTGAAAAATAAATGAAGCCTAAAGATCGGACACGAGGTTTCCTCAAAGAACATCGAAAAGATGGCAAAGTCAGCGCGTTTCTATAACTTCGTTACTCCTACAAAAACAAAGCCTTATAGGTAGAGGCTTTGACACAGGAGCGCAGTGACATTCGTTATCATGTCAGAAAAGAAATACATACTGTTGCTATTATTGCACACGAGAAGACAGGTCAAGGAGCGATACTCAAGAGTGAATTTTAAGAAAGCCGGTATATAAGTTCGGTCTTTTAGGAGCATCGTGCGCCATCAAAGCAAAATTGCAGATCGGTATGAAAGAGCGAAGTGGCAATGTCGTTCGGACACTCTACGTGGTGTCACTTAGTGAGCATACTTCAGAGTGCGAGAAAAATGGACGGATTCACACATGGAGCGGCCGAATTTCAGCAATTAGATCCGAGAAGGGCGCTTAGTGCCTCTATGCTTAGCTGAGGCTTTGGTATTAACAACCTGCCATCAAGATTATGCAACTGGATGGCAGAAAGCCAAAAACCTTTCATTCTTTGTTAGGCTAATATTTTAAGGACGGAAGGTTGGACGGACTTGATAATGAGGGCCACTCACCGAAACAAAGAAGGCTGTTTGCTTCCTCTTTCGGACGTTGCCGACGGAACCAGACGCATGAAGCGGTACACCTCAGTCGTATCATGACATCCGAGCCAGTAATAACGAATATTACAAGTTGGACGCAAAAGGATATTCCAAGAAAATCGACAAAGATGCGAAGTACAAAAGCTATTGACTGCGAGACTGCGACGTCCAGCTAAAGAGGCGTGACGTAATTTTATGATGTAAATATAATATATATAAAGACTTATAAAGGCACCTCAGCGACTGTATGATGCTAAGAGCTTGTTGCCCCATAATACGTTTCGGCTTAGCAATGAGAATCAGCATCGGTAAGCTCTGGTAGAACTTGATGATATTCTCACTACTATGTAAATTTCATTTGATTTGGCCCATATGGTACGCAGTTTTCATTTTTATAAAGAAAAACATTTTCCTTGAAAAATTTTGAAGTAGTTCTCTTTAAATCTCACTGTAATATAAAAAAAAGCTCCCTTACCTCGGATCTACGCGAAGTAAGGTTTCTGCGTTGATTACAGGTTCGGAGCCTCCTCGGATGGTGAATGCCGTAATCTTGTTGTTGTTCAGATAAAGGTATTTGTCTCGTTGCACCATGGAACGACCTCCGCTTTCGCGGGCCTTATAATTAGCAAAATGCGATGTGAATAATTGGCAATGAGAAAATAAGTTATGTAAATATATCGTTATTGCTGTTCGTTACCATCTCTAATTTAAAATTTCGGGTACCCAAATATCATATTGCAAACTACGTTTTTTTATAGGACGCCCCTGCTCCATAACCATTTATCACCAACTAACCAGGTTCTACATGTTGTATTAGTATAAAAAAAAGAAAATCTTCGAGAGCGGGTTAAAATATTAAAATTACACATGCTCTTACCAACTGTTTAAGGATTCGTTCATCATCGACGACCTGATTGCCTTTTGTGAAAACAAGTTTTACAGCAAGGTGTTCCGCAGTTTTTCCAAGTACAGCCTGGCATTCTTCAAAAACATCATACACCTGTAATTATGACTGTTACTGCTTCTGACTATTCACAGTTAAGGAAACTAGCGAAAAATAAGAATATTCAAACCTCCACAGATTATTACAAATAGTTTCTTCAGACCCATCTATGACCCAAATCTATGACGGGACAAGTTTTGAACATATTTCGTCCTGTGCAGAACATCCATTAAAACTTTGCATTGCTTGTTAATACTGGTTTGCCTTAAGTATTTTTAATGTTTTTGTTAAATAAATTGAACAACAAAAATGCTTTGCGCATTGCAATAGAATACAACAAAATTTCTGTTCGGTGATTATCGCTTCTTTATTTTGTATTTTTTCTCTAAAAGCATAGGCTTCCTCGATTAACTTATGTTGTGAATAGAGTCGCTACATTCATGAAAAGAGTGTATTACCTTAAATATAGATTTAGGTATCGTCATTGAAAGTTCCCGCAGAGGAAATTTCATCGATGGTTCGATCCGAAATACGCGACCGCAGCGAGAGATAATTAATTGCCTATAATTTACAGGACACATTAACGATGTCATGCTTCTGGATGGAAAAATACTTTAGTTTTTTATTACAATAAGAATAGATAAATAATAAAAAAATATTGATGTCATTTGAACTCTTTAGTAATCCAGAAACCTCTGTGCAGTTGATCTTCTATATGCGAGCAAGGCGTGTGAGCACATCTTCGGAGATCATTCGAGACCTGTGCTTATCGTAATACTAGGTAGAAAAGCTATCGAGTATAGCAGCAAACAGGACTCCTGTACCATTATGCAAGGGATTCATTTATTAGGTTGCTAGATGCTATTTAGCTGGCCGAAACCTAGACGAAATCTAAAAATTAGTCAACTTTCACATTACGCACCACTGTAGATGAAATGCAGTAAATACATACATCTAAAACTATAAGCCATTTAGGTATAATCAAAGGAAGATCAGTTTAGAAATAAAAATATCCTTTATTACTGAACATCCATGCTCAATGATTAATTCTTCTTGGTGAAAACTTCACTGAAGACCGCTGAAAACACTGACAAAGGGAGGTTCAAAATCCACAGAGAAGATAACAGGGCCGAAACAGAAACCCACAGGAATTCCAGAAAAATTGAAAAGAAATCACCAGTTTTAATCCCAAAAGTCCTTTTCTAGGGTATGATGAGTATTAAACTAACACCCTATAACCCCTAGAGACATCATCCAGAGATGCCATTTTATCAAAAATACTCTAGGTGTCTTCGTTAGGCGCACCCTAGAAACCAAATTACGTAACGTTTAAAAATACAATACGAGAATTACGGTTACATACGAGAATCCAATCACTACATTCTAGCAGTCACGGATTAGTACACCGTCTCATTCAAAAGCCACGCTATTAAGGGTCAAGTCACATTTTTGGCCTCAACGATTCTTAACAAACGATCTTTTACATTATTATGAAACAAACAAGTCGTTCTTTCATTATATGGAACATAGTATGTATATAGTATGAACAACAGGTAATTTTCTCTCGATGATATTTCTTACGTTTAATCTTCTTATGTCTACCGTTCACACAGATTCTTAAAATAGTGAGGAAACAGCTTTCTTAAGAAGGATTAATGGTATCTGGTCTATAATAGGACTGCACTTGGTTTACTAAAATTTCTCGGCACATCTAATAATCAGCGAAAAATACGAAAGTAAATGTAGTATCACTAGAACATGTATCAGTTACCACAAATGTGTTAAAAGAAGCTAAACATATTTTCGATGGTATATGAAACATCGTGTTCCAAGTAGATATGTTCATTCGACCCTCAAAAATTGGAACACGATGTTTCATATACCATCGAATATATATATATATATATATATATATATATATATATGTTTCATACTGCAAGATAGCTGTTAATCGGTCAAACTCAATTCTTTGTTTATCAGACTTTTTCTGCAAGAAAATAACACAAAATGAAGGGTACGCCAAAATAACTAGAAACATGTCTTTGTTTCCATCCTCCATGACGCAGTCTGCCGTGTCGAAATCTGCGTCAATCAACATTATCAAATCCTTCTCCATTTACTTGTATTACATGGGAGTATGACGTATGATTGAGATGAAATTGCATCTTGAGTTATTTGACGAACAAAAGGGCACAGACAACATATACGCCTATGAATATAAACTCAAAACTCCTGTGAAAAAGCCGCTTTATCAAGATTGCTACCTCCGAGGCGCTAATTGTTCTATCCGCAGTAGCTGAACACCGTCATAAAAATTAGGTATGATTCATCTTGATTAATACTGGCACAAAATCAAAAAAGAACAGTTACAGCTTTTGTCGATTTGTTGCGACAGTAGTAATCGCAGTATGTCGTTCTCAGCTAGTCTACATCCTATTTTGATTTCTATTTCCTTCGTCTTTTGTTTGTTCACATCGAGTCCAATCTGCTCGATTGAATAGTATACTGATAGAAGTATCAGACTGTTGAGATAGTGCTTACTGCTGTGATTTGTGAGGTCGTCTGCATATAGATTATCTTTACAATGAAGTCGCAGCTCTGTATACGGTTGGGGAGGTCATCGATGAGAAAAGCAAAATAAGTTGCCTTCTTGGGCGTAATTTGTTATTCAATGAGTATTCAATAGAATGCTCTGCTATCTTGTTATCTGGGATTGTTTAGTTGTCCTGTAGGAACCCCTATGACCCGTAGTGATGATATTGGAATAGCGATTTCAGTAGCACCAGAATTCGCAGCTAATGCACTGTATATCAAGGGTGTCGTCATTGTCAATCTTTGTCTTATGTTAGACAAAAGAGGGATGGACGCACGCCGTCAACGTTGATCTTAGCGCTGCCTATAAGGCGCTTTGTTGTTGTCAATGGACTGCGCCATTCATCAAAAAATAGACCGGCCAATAATTTGGACATAATTTCTCCTAGTACTTACTCTACAGAAGCTACGTTATGTCAGAACGTTTTGGAATTAACGACATAATAGTGTTCACAGTGTGGCGATTGTGTTAGATGTAGGAGATATTGTGTGGGACTGGCCAAATTCCCCGCTGGACCTCGCGGAGCCAAAGTACGTTTTCTGGGTTTAAAAAAAGAGTTCTTTATTTTTACGCCGCTCGTATTGTAAGACACGCATGTATGAAGAATCGGAAGGCTACGTTCACGTCGTGAACCCAGTCCCTTATAGATTTCCTTCGAAAAGGGCTGTTTAAGTGTTCATTGTGACGTCGACCTATTTGTCTTAACGGAAATTTTTGAGACGTATTAGTAATTGAAGTAAAAATACGACAATGACTGTATGCCGATCCGTTTCAAGGTCGAGGTAAGATTAGATGTCTCTAATGGCATGCAAGGGTACCGCCAATGGGTAAGATAAGACGTTAGCTTCTATCTTTCTTTGAGTTAAAAAGTCTGCGTAAGTATTTCATTTAAGAGGAGGCGTCCGGACAATTGCGCTGACCTACGGAAAATTCGCATAATGAACACTGGAATAAACGGTTATGCCTCTTGGATCCCATGAGCTCTCCATGAAAAAGTCTAAGACCACATGAATTTTGGCCTTAAACTTTTTTGCTAAATATTACACAAAAATGCCTGGTGATGTTATCATATTTCCCCACATCGTAATATTTTTGGGTGACAGGTCCCAACATCAAAGAACTGGCTTAACGAGTGAGGCAAAAAGTTTTAGGCGGTTTTTAAACACATGGTTTCCTTTTGCCAGTTATGACTATAGAACGACGGAGAACACCGACCGTCTACAGCAATAATCCTTAGCACTTGAGGAGAGTCAGATAAAACTGTATATATACGAAATTGTGAACAACCGTTCGCTCGCGTAAACAAGGCCAAAGCAGCGACTTATTGGTCAGTCTGGTACTTCGGAGTTAGATATCAAGATATATATAGGCTTTATATCAAAATGTGTTCCATTTATTGACGCTTCTGGACATCTAAGCTAATGTGAAAAAGCGAAAAGCAGATTTGTCATTTTGTTCAAGTAACCTCTGAAACGGTAAAAACTATAACGACGTAAATGGTGCGTTAGTCAGACTGCAACTTGCCGAATGAGCATGTCGACCCGGAAGTCCCGAACAACATGACAGCGCCCGCGATGGTGAATAACGAGTAGATCAACAAGATCTCCAATCTTCGATACAGTCAGAAATCTGTAAGTAGTTATGCCACTTATTTTTTTTATGCATACTCTACTAGCGGCACCTGGGGTTGAAGAAGCTATGGTATGTGCTACATTGTGTATTAGTCAAAATGAATATTTTAGCTAAATAGTTTTGACGTCGATAACAGCTTTCATAAAAGCGAAAAATCTAAGCAACATTATAACTTACTTTACATAGCACTATTCGGCAATTTCTATTTTATATTTGGAAGTAAACAGAGAAACTACTTAAAACTCTGTAAACACGGAATCGCACGCCACGGTACCTTTGTAAGCGATGACATAAAGGAATCACGTGTGCAATAGTTTCGTTTAGCATTAACGACTCGACCTCCGGCCAAGCGACTTGTTGTAAGTTGCGTCGATTGAGCTGTAAAAATACATTGGTAGAGAAACTTAAAACTGTAAAACTTGACTAGTTGGAAAATTTTGACTCGATTCGTTTAGAGCTTACGTTGACGTAGGTTGCCTTAGCGTAATATATAGCACTAACTAAAATATCAAGCAAACCGGAAAAGCTATAATTAGCGTCTGTTCCACAGAACACTCATTAGACATCAAAAGTGGCAGTCGAAAAATATAGCTTCATGTGTGCGTGGAATATAAATTAATATAAGCACAACTTTCAGCCCTGGCGTTACGACGGCTGTTGTATATTGGTTAGTATAATTAGCATTTTCACCGTAAAGCCTAGGTTATACGTAGTTACACTAACTGAGAGCCTGCACAATCGAATTCTGGTAGAGCAGGATTACTTTCCATAAAAATGTTTGAAATAAAGGTCAGTTTTCGTTACTCGTAGCAAAAACTAGTATCCCCCAATCGATTCGACGTGTTTGATTTAAGAATAAGGGTTTCACTTCAGCTAAAGCATCGACAGTGAACGTTCATACACCTTTCGATAAACCTTAAATGCCAATATGCACAGTACTCAATTGCTCGACTTTTGAATAACGTCCAATTTAGCTGAACTAAAAACTAAGTTTACATACAAATAAAAAAAAATCAGAATTTACCTGGTAAAGTTTTGTATTGATGAAAACATACGACTCAAAAGGGAGGTTTTTCTTCCACGAATTTACCTCGTAGCTTCCCCAGCGTAATCGAAGCATTTCAAAGGTAGCAGTGAATGCATCAGCCCACAATGATAAGAACAACCAATAGAGTACTTATTATTTCTCAAACGTCACACTTAATTTTTGATTAGATGTTCCGTGAGTTTCCGTCACCAACTATAATCGTGAGTCCTATCATGCTCAAAAGAAAATAGTTACAATAATTCAAGCACGCACTTCTAATAGGTATGTCGCTAGCACATTGCTAAGGTTCCAAGTTTACACGAGTATCATCATTAGTAGGACAAGCAAAGCGAAACTATAGTGACTCATCTTACGCGTTGTCTATGCCATTGTCCGTTGTCATAGACAAAAGACAAGGCAGCATGATTCAATGTCGCTCAAGGCTTGTCGCTATGTGGTTTGTATTTAGCAACGAAACAAGACAAATGGAGTCATTGCTGAAACGAGTTAATCTTCAATAATACAATAAGCCTCAAATGCTCTGCACTAATTAATGTCATTATCCGGCCCAGAATTCGAAAGGTAATAGAATTTTGCTGGTGGCATGTAATAAATGAACTCGTGACAAAAGACAGTAAGATTCCTGTTAAACCAGAAGCGAAAACAAGGAAATCCCTAATAACATCAACAACTAAAGTCGCGCTGACCTTTTAATTTCCTTCCCACAGATATCTGATCACTGTCTGCCGACATGACTGCAAATGTTACAGAATCTAGAGTCAATAGCCTTTCTGTACTAGTTCTCATAGTTCCAAACATCATAAAGCACACAATATCGGCACAACATTGCCAAAGGCTATCGTCGAAGGAAGCATTTTCATATTCACACATTGAAACGATATTAGCTAGGTTTGACAATATAGGCCTTACTCCTCTCTCTTAATCGCTGGATGTGTCAACAACGTATCACAGATAATTAAAAGGGGATGGAACAACGTTAACGAAAAGCTTAGTCAGATATATATGTAGAATATGCAAAGCTTACAAGTGTACTAAATACTAGACAAATCAGGGGTGGCTGATTTAAACTCTGCTATCGACGACGCATTGAACACATCTTGTACCACTAATTGAGGAGTGTTCAATATGGTAAATCATTATATATAGTATGTATAATACACATAGTTTGTAACATTTAAATCAGTTCTAAAAAAAGACTAGCTCAGATTTTGTCTAGTAGGTAATTGTTCTACAGTAGCAGATGAATATTTATTATGTATAAAGAAATACATAACTGTGTTTAAAGAAAAACACCTTTCCTTCATATTTAAAAAAATTTAAAAAGCTTAGACCACAAACCGCATATGTAATAGTAAAAAAAAAAACTAGACAACACTTTCATGTTAGGTCAATTCGCCTCAGTTTTCTAGAACGGCATTCAAGCATTTTTGGGACTTGTGCACAGTGCTCCGACGAAGTCCATTTTGACAGAAGTGCTTATTTCGGTGTTTTTTTTCTTTATTTCTATCTTCTATCTCCATTCTAAGTCGAGAAGTTGTCTACATTTGCTAATTCTAAACCCATTCTTATTACGTAAATATACATAAAGCCTAGCTACAATTGGTCAGAATGTCTAGTGTCATAGAAGTACAATCCTTCGTTCCCAGAAATATCGTTGACGATGACGACAGAAACAGTTATAACGCCCGTGTATGTATTAAACACTGATCCTTGGCTCAAGTATTCCTAGGAATGGTCTAGCATTTGGCTTCAATAATTATACGCTAATCAGCTCCTGAATACTACGTAATACATATATTTATGATGAAGTATGACCATTGTCTAGTATAGCTAGAGCCTACATAAAGGTTTCATCGAAACACTTTCGTTCGTTGAGATTTGAACAGTCACATTTATTACGTTTTTCTACCTGTAGCGTTAGTGGTGCTGAATGGAATTGGACTGGGAATCGCTTGCAGCTTTTTGATTATCACTACTGCATTCAAATGTTTGTTATACATTTTACTATCTAATCACCCACATGACAGCCCATTATTTGTGTAGATGAGTTGTGAATTTACCATTATGTGAACAGTTCGCAGCAATTACCTGCAATGGGTAGGAATGATTTTTTCCGACAGGTCTCTTCCAAATGATATCTATAGATTAAATCTAAGTACGGGCGGTAATTAATATTTTTACTATTACACACTTATGTACACAAGGTTCGTTATTGATGAACACAAAAAGATTTGATCTCACATGCAAAAAGTATGTTTTGAGCTAAACAAATTACGTTACCAGCGAATGATGCTACCAAATAAATTTAAGGGAAAAACTAGAATTAGGGTTATACAAAATAATTCAGAAAATTATATGTTTAGCTCTTATGAAGCACTGAATTCGATGCATTTAAGACAATCTTAAAAATGGAGAACGAAGGTCATTTGCTCGAGAACATGTACAATATTTTTGATAACAGCAAGTTCCGTTGAACCAGTTTTAGATTACCATTTTCTTCTGGTACTCGCTTTGTAAAAATCGTCCTGTGAAAATCTAGTCAAGTGACAAATTTAAGACAGGCTTGCCCATTTTAAAACCACTGAGGTAAAATCGTTGACCTTGTTTTTGAAAGTGGCAGATACGATTATCGCAATCATTGGTGTGGTTATCGGTCCCATTATCTCTTCACGTATTTTATCATCTCAGATTATAAAGCTGGCTGCTCGTATCCTTAACACTGGCTGCACCACTTCCGTTGATTGTGGTAGTCTTCTTCTTGCCGCTTTTACCGGGCGCAAAAAGCGACCAAGACCTAAGGGAGTGTTGGAAAAAAGCGTGACAGGATATTACCGTATTATGAAGAATTTTCCTATCTTGTAACATTATTCATTAGCTGATCTATAGAATCTCTGTAGAACATGTTGGTTCCGATTTAAAGCTCTATGATTTTTCTCATTCGAAGCACAGCCTACGCATTATTGTATATAATCTAATGAAATTTTTGTGATACAAATTCTTCCATTTATAAACAATAGTGAGTAAGAGAAACTGATATAGGGTGGGCTGCACTAATTTACTGATGGGTCTTCCGTCTTTTAATAAAAAGAATACGTATCCATTTCTGATTCGTTCCTTATGGTGGTTCCACTAGGCATATTTTCAGTGCAGCGATGACGTGTAACAAATAAATACCATAATTGTGTATGTGAGCCATACTTAAACATACACACTACGACATCGAAATAGGCAAATTAACGAATCAATTTGTTACCGTAATGTTTCATCTCCTGAAGCAGTCATTACGGTACTACCGTCAGGCGAAAGTGCTATGTTTAAGATCCGAGCAGTGTGGCCGCGCAGTTCACCGATCTTAGCCATATTAGGGTACTTCCACAGGTTGACCTCATAGTTGGAGTAGCCGTGAGCCGATACGAGCTCACGATACTCTTCGCTCCAAAGTAGTCCACAAACCTGCGACTTTGTGTCGGTGCATGACAGCATTGATCCTGTTGCCACGTTCCAAAGGCGAATCGTACGATCCGCAGTCCCTCCACCACTAGCCACCAAACCTTGCAATCAGCAATCGCAAAATCATTGGTTTCATCATATAAGCGAATGACACTCTTAAATTGGTTCGTTTAATTCTCCATGTTTATGGAGCGTAATATTGAACCAAACCACTTAATTTTTACAGCCTTCGAGGCATTTATAAAGTTGCTGCATCTGTGATAAATCAAAACAGACGTATCAACTACAAAGTAACTTATTCAGCGTAACAGACTTATACAGGCCTCTACATTCTACCGAAAACCCAAAACAGGCTTTACTACTGTATAAACACGTGGAGAACACCGACATGCCGCCTACGTTAAAGAAATGTACGTCCTTCCCGTAAAGCTAAGAAATTTTAACCAAACATTTTGTAAGAGATGCATACTTCGTTGGAAGGGACACCAGGAGATGGCTTTAATACCAGCCATGTGGTCCGTAAACGTGTGAACGGGTCTCAGTCTTCCGGAAGTCCCCTGTGGCCAGAAGTGAAGTTGATTATCGTTTCCACCGGATGCCAAATATCTAATAAGTTTAAACGAAATACGAACGTTAATGTAAATATATTCGAATTGCAAACACTGGTCTTGTGGGAACGGAATTGTTACGGAAAAAGCATGATTATACTCATGGCACTTGTGCTCTTATATTTATTAGTAAGAAAGGCTAATTTACTTGCTACTATAGTTTCTGCGCAACGAACTACATGGGCTACTCTGTTTAAGAGGAAAGTAACTTGATGGGGCGTGTACTCAGACATACTGCTCATTCTGCTGCCTCGATACCCAAAATAAGCTTATTTTTTATATGAAGAATCCTAATTTGTTCCAATATGCACAGCCAATGCTCATGACATTATCTCCATGTTGCCCTTAAAATGCAGACATGATGCGGCAATCTAAATATAGAAATATATAAAAAAAAAAATATTAAAAAAAAACTTACTTTCCATCGGGACTCCACCTGAGGCCGCAAATCTCTTCGAGATGCGCGGAAACCGAGCCTTGCTGATGTTCGGCCACTCGCACGTCGGAGTGCATAATCACTCCACTTCTCGCTCCGGAGGAGCAAATGTACGAATTCCATGATATCGAACCAACCCGATTCGTATGGCCTTGAAGCAACAGTAACGACAACATAAACAGGTGAGTTTGGCTCTAACTGCAGAGGCTCTATTCAGCCAGATTTACATGTTTGTCAATGCGCTTCGTAGTAGACCTGCAGCAGAAAAGTTATATCGCTCGTGTTTCGCACTTTGGTGAGTACTCAGCCTCATGGACTCAACCATCAGGTATATCGAGAAACGTATAAGTTCATACAGGTTCTAATAAAGTCGAATTCATATAATTACCATTAAGTGTTCTAAGTAGGCGTTTTGCTTCGATGTCCCAAATTTCAACAGAATTCGACGAGAGCCCAACCGCAAGATAAAATCCGTCCTGCGAAAACTGTACAGCTGATATATAGTCCTATAACAATCGTATGAAAAGATAACGGTCGTCCGAAACCCAGAAAATCGCCTGTTAATCAAATTATACGTAGAAGCAATAATCCTGTGTATTGAAAAGTGGTCAACTCGTTCAAAACTAATGCATGGAGACACAACCATTTACACGAGATAAAGGGAAGCAGCAGTCATTCCGTCAAAAATGTTTGCGCACAACTCGAAAAATAATACGACTATGTCTTTATTACAAATACATTGAACAAAGACATTTAATGTCGAATGAGATGTCGTGTCGAACCCGAAGATCACCCAGGTCTTTGTAACTCCGGCCGCAGAGTCAGAACTGCTAAACTTCTCATTCTGGATTTAAAAACCGAAGACATACACGCAAAGTTTGTACAAATTAAGACAAAGCAGGAATGTTGTGTCTATCTGTAAATAACTGTCCTCTAATTGGAATACAAAGAAATAATAATTATTTCTTATTTATTTAGTACTTATTACCTGTTGGTTAGATAGTTCGATGAGATGCTCAATACTACCAGTTTGTGCATTCCATATAAACAGGTTTGCGCCTAATCCAACAGCAACCGCATTACGAGCACTCCAATCAAGAAGGTTGAGGTAAAAATCGTCGACAATACCTATAAGATAATGAAATACAGGAAAGTTTTGTGAAAATGCGAACATCACGCACCTTAAAACTTTGCATTAAGCTTATACCAATGCAACCAAAATGTATAAGGTGATAGCATTAAGAATTCAATTAACATTATACACTTTTAATTGCACAAACCTGGGGCATCAAGGATTTTGTCAGGTCTTGACGGGATGTACCGGTGGCTTTTGACAGCGGACTGGGTCTTACTCGACGAATACAGAATGCGGTTCGGTCCACTGGCAGTAGCGGCTGATGGAGGTTTGTCCCTGATACGAATTCGAACATTAGCGATTTGGAAACATGCTTTTCGAATATTCTCTCTCTCGCAATAGCTTCATAAGTTGGCTTCCGAATGCACCACAAAGAAGATCTGTATATATACTAGCCCATATTTCGCTCATTTAATTCATAGCACGATGAGTCGTATGAAGTGGTCCGAAAGTTTGTGCTTTTTTTGAACTTAAAACGTTATAAGTTAATTCAAGTGGATTACAACAGTTACTCCTGTTGTCTAAGCATGCATACACAGGTTTCAATAACGCTGGACACGTACCTGTAAGCGAGAATCCTGTAGTTACTGAGATCGACGTTTATCTGTTGTTCAAGAGCTTTTGAATACTCGTCGGAATTTTCTTTATTTGACAGAGCAAATTTCGCTTTATCAAAGTCCATTGCTCGTCGATTAGGTAGCATGCTTTAGAAAGAAACAGGAGGATAGTTAAGAAGTGTGTCGATAAAATAACAAACACAGCTCCTTACTTGGTTCTAGTAACAGCAATGCTGCAGGATCTTTAATAAAAGATATGTATACATGCTCCGCAAAAAAATCAGAATCAAAGCACAATCGGGTATCTCAGCTGCGATATGATGAATTCTTTTACTAGCCAAAGGCAACTTGTAAAGGCAAAATGTAAAAAAAAAGATATAAAAAAAAACAATTGAACCTTACGCTGTACAAAACCTAGATCAATACTGTAGAAAACACATCTCGTGTACTATTTCTATTCTGCTATGTAGAACAGCGTATCATAGTGATTAATCCTACCGATCGCCTTCATTTTTCAGAGGAGTCTTCTTCTTGGCCTTGGTCAAAGAACCTGGACCCGATGTCTGTACAGTCAAACCTTGGGCAGCGCCTGTAATGCTCTGATTCAAAGCACCCGGTGCTGGTATAGTGTTCATTGTCGACGAATTTAGCGACAAATTGCTGTTTTCTAACGCCTTTCGCTTCCATCTGAAATTAACAAGGAAGTAACGAACACACATTTTAAAAATGCAAAAAAAACAACTTATTTATTTTCTATACTAATCCTAACAGGACCATTACGCAATTATAGGCGGGTTAAGTAAATGACTAAAATAAACATGGTTAATGAGGAGTAAATTTTATGGGACACAACCCGTACATAGCCGCATACACATACGAATAAAAAATGAAATAGAGCATGGGTTGTAAATGTTATAATATCACCAAAGCAATACAGTAACAATGGCTAAACGGTTTTCTTTTAGTAATATGTCGGCGTGGTTAATTAAATTTTTGACAATACGACATCATCAGTAATTTGGCATCCTCAGTTTTAACTGACTCATTACATCTATCGTTTATTCATTAGGTTCAAGGCATTTTTTTACTTTCTCATCGTCATAATGAACATTCCCAATAACTTTAGTAATTTATTCCAGCATGATGGATATTTACCTTTTACTAATCCTACTCGCAAAAATAAATGTTTGATTAAAACTCAAAATACCTAAAAAGAAAGACGGAATCGTACTTTTGTACTTGAGAACAGAACGGAACAGAGCCGTTTAACATAGAGTTCGTATTTCACAAAGTTCTTTTTTTGCACTATAGGATACAGAACACCACCACTTGAGAGGAGTTTATCTTTACGCAACAAACGCGATCATATACATCACATAGCCTTTCAGCAAAACAGCTAAAATATTGGTTGAGACCTGTAGGAAGTAGAATGGCATAGGTTAAACACAGTTGTGAGGATTCGTAGATATAGTGCAAGTGTAGTATATTTATTGCAATCCTCATAATTCTAACAGAGCACAATTATCGGGTTTGAGCATATGACTTGCACAATGAACATAAATGTAAAATTTACCTTGGCAATGGGCCCTGCAATTTGTCGTCCATTTTTGTCGCCTGACTAATTTGACGTTCAAGACTAAAGTGCGACATAGTAATTCTACAAAATCAATGTTCACTTAATAATTGTTTACTTTTGTTTTCTGACTGTTATCACCTAAACCCAACTACAAGTACTGTGATTTGTTGCAATGAAAAAAAGTCGCACGAGATTTCGCTCACAGTTCGAGCGCTGCCGCTTCGAAACGACTTTAAATCCCTCTAACCAGTTTTTCCCGCTAAGTTGGCGCAAAGCCGCCAGCTTTGAACCATACCGTCGACAGCTGCTATATATTAGTATCGGTTGTGGTGCTTATTCTTAATGCTGTTGGTGGTACAAATGTGATCCGAATGTGGCACTCTACAGCCAGCAAAAAGACGGCGGGTGCGCTAAGCCAATTCGCAGCACTTTTCACGTTATTCGAAAAAAACGATCCAGTTGTCGATGTACCAGCAGCTGTAGTAGGACGTAGCTGCGAACAGAACTGTGCGAGCAGTTGTGCATCATAAATAGTGGCGTATATCACTGGCTAGCTCGCAGTAACAATACGTCCAGAAAATTCCTAGGTTTGTTTGTTGTATCGTTACACTGTGCCGTAATTGCTCTGAATTTCTTGAATGAATTGAGAACGTTTCGGATTTCAATAAATCGGTGCAACTGGATCGTGGTGATAACTGTTAAGGGTGACGAAAGACCTGTAAGGACCTCTTGGACAAGCTAGAACCGAGGTGACAGCCCAAATATGAGCCTAAATACCTCGCACGCAGCCAATGGCGTGCTGCTATATGCAGGCGAATTGTAAGTCCAGTTTAGACTTCTAATTAAAACTTAATTGGCAACTAAATGAAGGCGAAGTAGTCTATCGTTCCAGTTTTATTAAATGCAGAGTTGTTCTGAAATTTTGCGGTGAATTTTTCGTTCGCTCAAGAATATTATAAGAATACGGTTACTAATCACAATAACCACAATCGTAAATTTCAGTTAAACCTACGCAAATATAATCTGTGTGATGTTGCGACGCAAAAAAATAGCGACAGATGTACATCTTGTCAAACGAAGAAAACATGGATGTCATATATACTTGCTTTTTAGCGTTTATTAGTGCTCTTCCAATTTAGCTCTAGATTACACATTTGAACTGTATCCCGTTGTTAGCTGTTAAACATCGTACGTCTGCGTCTTCGGTAGGTGAATTTTTTTTTTAGGTATATGCGTATATATAATGGTAGCCATAAGGCTGTGTTAGTTTCAGCTTGACAGTCTCTGCTGTAGTGTCATCATTGTCTTTGTTATCTGCGAGTCACGCGTGACTCGTTAACGATTCAAACGGTCAGCGGAGCAAAACGTAAGCTAGAATGACAGACACCGTGAATATAAAATGCATGCGTTCGTATATAACACAGCGATTGTTCTCGAAAACCTGTTGATTGGTCTTCCATTGCTGGTGAATAAGCGGATAGATACAGCATCATCGATTTTTGTGGTGTTAGTCCACATTCTAGCCAGTTTCCCATTTTACAGGAAAAGAGACCTGCTACAATATGTATTGTTACGTTTGTGTTCTAAATCAGGTTGTATGCTTACCCTTACGGCGGAATGGTTGTCCGTAAGAGGAAAGCATTAACAACCTACAGCACATAAGACTGATCAAAATACAAAAATAATTTGAGGTACAGGGCGATTTCAGAAATCGATGAAATGAAATCGACACACGACACGACAGTTGTAGCATTAGAAAATAATAAACAGGTATCAAATCGTTGCAAAAATATAACAGCAACTCATACAATGCAAATTTTTCATTCTCAGTATAAAATAATAAACAATAATCAGTTGATCTACATATACAGCTGTGCAGAAAAAAATTAGGTATCTCAGTAGATATGGGTTGACCTATTTTTTATCAATCATATATATGTATTTACGGAAGTACACGTTATTTTATTGCAACGACTAAATACAACAGATACTTGAATTATCCCAGCGTAAATCGTACCTTGATTCTGCTTATTTTCGTGCCCTAATTGTTTGTTTTCGCTTATTCCTATGATGCTCTCGCTAAATCATCAAAGAGTATACAAAGTCTGCAGAAACATGTACAGTATTTTATTTCACATAATGTAATTTTTGACTGTCCGAATTGAGTAAGAAAACCGATGGTTTCAAAATGCTTTAATTTCTCCCAAAAACAAAGCATTTCTGTTGGTCATAACGTAATCAGGTCACAGTTATTTGTGAAAATTGCTGCATATCAATCAGCGATCAATCTCAGTGCAATACACTGATGTTAAACATTGTTTCGTTGGTACTTACGCGATCTTGAGGAGATTAACTGAATTACCCAATCATAATTAAATAGGTGTATTTGAAGTTTTAAGAGAAGTATGATTACGTTACCCATAATATTCGTATGTTGACGATGACATACGCAAAATGAGTTCATTATTTTATATACGATTTTAATTTCTATTAATAGCTGGAATACAGTCTTAGATTATATACTAAATATAGACCATTTACTTAATTTCTAAATGTTTTTTTTTTTACCTTAGACATGGTGGACGGTAACATAGAAAAGACGAACCTCTACTCAGGTATAACGCGTTTGCTCTGAATTATACATTTGTGTTTATTGGAGCACATGCCATCCAGTATCCTGTTTAATCAACAAGTTGCTCGAATAAAGCAAAAAGTAATTAGTCAAGGTCGGTTAAACGAGATCTAAAAGATAAAAGATGAGCTATCTTATTAGCAGTACGCGTAGTAAACCTTTGTATCTCTTTACCCACATAACCTAAACCATTTATATTATCAATAATATCAGTTACTGTTTGTTAAATGTTTATCAATCAAACCTTATTTGCAGTATTTTGCTTTACTGCGATGGGGTGACTCTGTCGTTTGAGTGCGTAGAACCGCTGATGAAAGGAACCAGGAAAGGGCGTATCTACCTGACTACTCACCGAATGATCTTCAGGTAACCTATTTCGAACTATATGAATTGCTAATTGTTAATTAAAAACTAATGTAAAAAATCAATTGAATGGAGGATAATTACATAATTAGGATCGTTAATTCTGACGTTTGATAAGTAATGTCTAATGATTACTGTAAAACTCTAATAATAATAATACTATAGGACTAAAAGAGCATATCAGCTGGAGATAAAAATAAACTGTTTACAATTCACATTTGGTCTGTTTGTGAGATGTCCCCAGGATAATTGGATTGTTCTTATTTTACATATCAATAATATCTCCTATCAAATAAGAGTTATTATGGATATGGGTAATAAACTCTGTGTAAGAGTTCATTACCCATATCATTATTACATTATTACATCATTACCCACATTATCCATACTTTGTGTTACATTATCCATACTTGTTCTAGCTCGGACTTTTACACAAAGCCGCCGATGTAAACGAGATACTGTTCATAAGAATTGAGAACGAATACCGTTTTCTTATGATTTTTAAGTTTATAAAACTTTTCGACAAACATGATTTACATTCCAATTTTTTTGCGTCGTACTTTGTAATTTCAATTGACTAAATTGTTACCTGTTACGTAGCAATTTACGCAATCACGAGAGTGTGCGCGGAAGCTGTTAATGCAATTGCTTGCACAAAATGTTATTTCGAATACCGGTTGGACCAACTGGGTTTCTTGTGCCATACGACTTTCTGTGCTATACAAGCATTTTGATACTTGGTCCTAGTTCATTCGACAACCCGTGAGCTCAAGTCTGAAAAAACGCAAAAAACGTTTTGCGTGGTTTTCGACATTCAATGATGAAAATATTTTTTTAGTCAAGAAATTTTCCTGGCAGGTTAAAATCTCTTTTTGATTAAACGAATGCACAAGTGGAAGTGTTGCATATGGGTATACAAAAATCATGATACCATTTATGAGAAAAAAGGTTTGATTCACCTGTTTTAAACTGTTAAGAGTTTTTGCTCCGAAGACATTCTGAAAGCAAAGCAGCGTAACCCTAAGTGGTTCCAATGAAACGGTGACACTTGCCATTGCTCACTCGAAGCGATGAGGTTATTAAAAGGGGAGTACGAAGAAAATATCAGTTTCAGTGCAACATTGTTTGTACGTTTTCTTAATTCCTTTCTGTGGAGTTTTCTATGGGAGACTCGAGAAAGTAAATACTCTATTGGAACAGCCTTTTTATAATTGAAAAGCTGAACGAGAGGAGACGACCTGAATTCAGACAGTTATCGCCAATTTATGTGGAAGAAACCATTGCAAATAATGTTTTATCTCAAACTTGCAAAAAAAGAAAAAGAAAATGAGACAGTTACATTACTCATTACATATTTAAAACCTAACGGCAAATATTTTCGACTTGCAATATGGCTTTGATCTTGCGCCTGTACGGTAAGTTGGTGTCATTTATCTGAGATATTAATGATCTCATTAAGAGCTACTCAATTTTACTTTATTTTCTATTTATTCGTCTTTTTTTTTTCTTATACTCTTTTCTCTATTTCTGTTTTTCTAACTATTGTTTTTCAGATCTAATGATGATTCAAAAGGCCTTGTTTCATTCTCGTTCCCATTCTACACAATTCACGACCTTGGACTCGAACAGCCGGTATTTGGAGCCAACTACATCAAGGTAAGTCAAATTAGTGAAAATTCTGTATACTGAATTCTTATGTAATTTTGCTTCATAGAAACATATTATGAACGTTACCCAATGAAGTATACTGTTACAGATCTGATCTGATCACCTATCCAGCACTTTGGTGGCCAAGAAAAAAGTGCTAACGACCCATATCATTGTTTCGATGCAAACAGGGTAAAGTTAAGGCAGAACCTGGAGGTAATTGGACTGGCGCGGCGAATTTCAAATTAACCTTCAAGGATGGCGGAGCTATCGAATACGGACAAGCCTTAATAGCTGCTGTACAAGCTACGTCCAGGTAAATTTCTCCTTCCCATTTTTTATACCTTAGAACTGTCGCCTGTCTTCTATGGCACGCGTTCGTACATCCGTGGAAAAACAGCAAAATGGACGCGATCATTAAAAAAATATTAATATAAAATTACACGGAACTGACTTTGCGACGTAAATAAGTATGCATACTCCGCATGTTTTGGGGTAAGATACTTTGTGCTTTCAAATTAACTGCCGTATTCTAAACGAATCTTGGATTTTACTTACCAAGTAAGTGTAATATTAAACGCCCGGTGTATTGCCTTACTTGAGACCTTTAGAAATGTTTTGAATTTTAATATTTCAGCTGATTATAACAGCCAACAACTGCAGTATGTTAAGATAAGCGTTAGTGAGTCTTGCTCATCCACGGTTCACCTGATGTTTGTCAAGAAAGCGAACATTTCCTTGAGATTTTGACGTACTTTTTTATTTTTCTATATCTTATATACGTTGATTTTTCTATATCTACTCGGCTTTCAAAGCCTTCAAAATCTTTATCTGCGATCAAAGGTTTTCATTGAATTATATATACATATGTATACATATATATCAATATTAAATTGTATTCTTTATGAATTACATTGTTTTGAACACAACTTTTCATTCTCAATTTTTTTTTATTATAGAACTCTTATATTTCCAATTTTTTGTTCAGCGATTCGTCGAATTCGATTGGAGATTTATGCAATGACCGAATCTTAGTCGCTTTTATAGGACTGCTAAGTAAGGTTGTGAGATGAGATGTTTATTTCCCCGTATGAAGCTTTCTTTGTTATCTAGGTATAACATAGTATTGTGTACTAGGACCTTTGAAACGTTTCTTGAATATACCTAGTTAAACGACCACTGAACGCCGTTTATCTAAAATATTGCGAATAAAATATTAGCCTTCCTACTTAACGGTGATATCCAAGGTGCTTTGCCGTTTCCCATATTACGCGATTTTTATAGCTGATGGATTAAAAATTTTATGGTACGAGCTAAATGCACTGACCATGGTTTTTTCAGACAGCGGATGTCTCTGCTGCTGCCAACTATTTTTGGAAGCCAAACTGAATGTGTGGCATCGCTTTCAGTTAATTAAGTACACTTTTGTTAATCTGCGATATGAACGTAAATACAAGAATATAAATATTTTGATTTACACGAAAGTTGCCATTTATGCTTAAGTCAAATAGGCATTTTTCAGCTGGTAGCGATTTGTAGGGGTACGTGAAGTAAGCACTGACTCTCACGTTTCTGCTCTTTCTTATTTTCATCTATCTCTGCATTGGAAAAAGGTCTGACGGCCTGCTGTGTACGGTCATAGAGAAATGGTGTCTCGGAACAGGAGGGCCTGCGTTCGCTGCTCGTGCGTTCTATGTCGTTGTACCTCATGCTAAACCTGACAGTCAAAATTCGAATCATAGTGGACGCCGCTCTAATCAAGGGGGGCGCCCTCAGGCGCTCCCACACGCTGGGGGAATGTATTCACACCCGGGGATGTATCCACCACACTCGTATTCTTCCCATAACATCTATCCCATGGCATATAATTATGGAACGACCGCGTCTCACCCTGGGATGCCCCCGCTTCACCCGACGCGGCCCTATCCGGGCTACATTTCCAACCACAGATGCTGTTATCACTAAACCACGGATTATAAACAACTGGATCGTGTGGCTACGAGAGAAAAACGGCAACAATATTTAACCAAAATTCCCAGATCTATAAATGTTGACTTATCTTATACAGAACTCCTGGCCCACGAACAGCCACGAACAAAATTAATTGGAGGCAATACAACAGACTGCTCTCAACTTCGCCATCTTAACTCTGTAATATCTAAGGGTTCGTTTTTCGTAGTGACGAAAATTACTATCTACCGTAACGACAGATCGTCACCCGTCGTTTGACCTCTTCACCACCCACAGGTCACTACATGAAACGATTTTCCAACTGAAAACTACTAGTTTTTCTAAACTAGATTGTTTAAAGCTGTCACCTTAGAGTACCCTTAATTGGTATTAATTATACCTAAACTAAATGTATTAGAGCCCCGTTTCAAGATGCTATAACAACTATTTACTAATTATTTGCGCAAGTCAACGACTTTTTTAACAAGCGGTCTTCCGCTGAAGATTTTTCAATTTTTCTTTTCACTGCTGGAGCACATTTATACAGGACTGGTTTTTGCCAACTCTCCTGACAATTTAGCATGTCATTGACTTAAACGGAAAAATGAACGCTTAAAGAATTGCTCTTAGATTTCATAAACCCTGGATGTCCATTTTCGAAAATTACCTTAAGCGTGGTTAACCTACTAGGCGCTCTTAGATTTCATAAACCCTGGATGTCCATTTTCGAAAATTACGTTAAGCGTGGTAAACCTACCAGGCGTAAGCATCTGTAAGCAAGTGCGGTATTCACTTAGCATCGCTCAAATGTTGGGGCCTATAGCATGAAAGCGGAGACGGCATTTAGATTGTACTCAAATTGTTTGGTAAAGCCCTGTATTATGACCCAAAACGTAGTACCGAATAACAAATTTTCTCGTTCGTGTGCAAGTTATTAAACACGTGTACCATTCACCTTGGCGCTACCGAGCTTCATCGTTTCCTTCATTGACTTATGACATGTTACAAGTTTGATTTTTATTTTGGTAAATATATTCTTCCAGCGCTAGGATTTTCGTGTAAGCCTTAACTTTCCGCGATGACTACCAAATTTGTTTACCGTCCTAAACCGAGTTCAGTGTAGTATAAAAAATAGCGGTGGCAAAGAGAGTAACGCAGATGCCCCTACAACTAAGGAAAAGCCTACAAATCGCGAAAAGATTCGTCTTTCCATGCACATCGCATCACCCGTTACATCAACAATCTTTTATTTCCATCCAAGATGGATAGAATGTGGGTAGTAGCCAACTTAACACTGATATTATCACAGCAACCGATATTAACTGAAAAGTTCCCTTTATGATTGAGTGGCAAAATGTTTACTTATTGACTGTTTCTTGTGTATGCGCGGTTCTTCTAAGGTTCCGGACCTTCAAGCACGTAGTATTTGAAGTACCTTTGGTATCAATTAAGTGTCAATTTATCTCAATGAATTCAAAAAATTAATGGATTACTAAAAGTTGACCTCATGTTTCTAATTATGTTACTTGGTTTTACGCAGGTACATAGGTGAAATTCCCCCGTATCCATTAAGGCCACCAACGCAATACCCATACGTCAATGCCATGCCTGGCGCGTACATGGCTCCACAGGGTCCCGCGCCCTATGGTTTTTACATTCCCACTAATGTTTTCCCTGAGCATCCACCAGGCAAGTTATCACAGAATAACTAAACCCTCACTAATATTTTATGCATAATGCATCAGTTGCATGCAGCTGTATTACTAACAGAGAGGCTATATGCAACGAAAAACTGAGAAGTGGTATATGATCTTGTCAATTCAGAATGACACGCATTAATATTATGCATTAATTTGGAACGGCCAAAGCCTCAAACGAGCAGAAATTCGTATGCTGGCTTTAAAAACTAGGGTTTGCGCCCGTGTTAATTTAAGAAAAACTTTAAATGGTTATTCAAGACGATTAGTTTATGCTTTGTTGATCATCGTCATAATGAAAGAAATATTTAAATTGTAACACATATTGATCAATACACAAATATGATGCAATATAAAACAAATACGAATAAGTCTTTAATATGCATGTTTAATTAATTACTATTTATTATTATTATTAATTTACTAATATATATATATATATATATATATGCTTAAAACAATGAGTCTTTCGTACACTGTTATCTTAACTGTTCAATCTGCAGCGAATCAAGTGTACACAGTAGAACAACCTCCTCCCTATCCTGGTGTCATGGGAACGGCGGGATCCTCAGAACTGGGACCACCACCAGCCTACGTGGCTCCACCACCAGCTTACGTAACCCCTAACAGCGGGACTGCTTACGCGCATGCTTCTGCCCCGGACCAACCGGCAACCAATCGCGATAATAATCAGGTAAGGAACAAATAGGGTACTTGGCTTGGTATTGTTATAACTAAAAAATCAACAAGGCGTAGGCGCTGTCCTTGCGGAACTGACTCGGCATGCGCGGAAAACATGCATGCTTTTTTTTGTATCATTTGTGTTGCAACTATGCATGTTACAAATTGTTTTAAAGTCGTAAATGGGTTAAAGGTATCTGTTGTAGGTCTACCCATCTTAAGCAGTACGCGGGATTAGAATAGAGCAGTATGTACAGCATGTGCGAAACATTTTTCCAACGTGGTGAAAAGAACGATCATATTCGTATGTATGTGAGATTCGATGGCTTCAAATGATTATTCATAAATCAGCATAATTCTTAGTATTACTAACTTTAATTCTGTTGAGTCTACCAAATAAAAATTTACAATGACTAACGGTAAAACTTATCTTCTCAAGGGATTTTACCCCACGTTCGAGTCAAAGACAGCGTAAACTGCAGCACACGAGCTACTTTTAGTGGAGACCCTTTCGGCTACGGACTACTTTATACGGTGGCTTTTATTCTCATCATAACAGTTGATCTTTTGCTTCCGTGGTGACATTGAGTCTGGTGAAGAGAACAATCATGTCAAGACTTTTCCAAAGATACGGGGACACTACAAAACGTCAATGCGGAATCAGATATTGCAACGATTGTGCAATACTGCTGCAGGATTGTTCTGCTGCACAAATAAATTTGAAGGTTAATGTATGTTTTTGCTTAACGTCAGAAAGCTGTTATGCAGAGTTTGTTAGAAAAAGAAATACTAAATATCATTTTTATTTAAGACACGGTACAATTGAGGCAGCGGAAAAGCCGTACACAGAGATATTTTACGGAAAATGTTTGCAACAAGAACAAATCGTAAGCAAAAATATTTGATTGTCAATTAATATTTTGGCGACAGAAAAAGCTACGGAATCCTAATAAAATGCGTAACTTCGTATACTAATTCTTGTGGTGCGACTGCACTATGCCTACCAAAGGTTGCCGTGTAAGAAAAACGCACTACTATTTTAGACAACCAATCCTGTTATTAATTCATACATTTACAAAGAACAAAGCTGCTGAGCGAACCTCGTGTCACAGCGCAATAGGCGCACTAACCGCATAGCTTCAAGAGAGTATATAATGAAAGAAAGCATATATTTACATTTTAACCGGTGCAGCATCGATACGGTCGATGTTAGCAGAGTCGGTATACATATGTATGTGATGCATTGGTCTAAATATCGTAGTCGTCTGAATATCATGTACGTCACTACGTTGTTAATAACTTCGTGCTTTCAAAAAACAGATGACAATTTACGAAATAGGTGTTTCTCCAATGACAGTGTGTTCGTTTCATTTCGGGGTGGCTTACGCGTATTATCCATCTTTACGCGATAAGTTGCCAACATCGGACACACCGGAATTGGAAATAAATGATCAAAGCTTTACAATCGTTATGGTAGTTTTTTGGAGTTAGTAGACAATAAATCAGTATACAGAGAGTTTCAGCTTCCACAATGTGAACAACTATATACTAAAGATTATTTATTTTAGGGAAGGTATGTTTTAATGATTATCTGCTCAAAAAAATTTAGCAAGCCTATTGGCACCTAGCCAACTATTGCGTATGAGTCTACATGTTGTCGATAATAATTTTCCTAACCTATATAAAAACAATACGATCACTCCACGCAATCACACACGTAAACAGCTTAAAAAAAATGTTGAACCCTTAACTCCAGTACAGAAGCGTATAACGTGCATTTATTTTGTACGCGGTCTAAAATATGGTTATTAAGAGAAGGTGACAAAGTTTTAAATTTTGCTTGGTAGAAGGTAACCCTGCCAGCACAAATTTAGCATATTCCGGGACAACGTACTATTTTGAAATCATACTTCTGAACCGTCGAATATAGGCGAACCGAGTTCGCAAAAATCTATTAGAGTGATCAAGGTTTTATAACTGACTATATAATTCACTACAGCCATTGCTGTACAGTATTAAAATGTAAAATAGGTTCGTAAACTTTTTTGTAACATTACAGTTTCCTATCACGATACCAAATACCGATAAAACGCAGTTAGTATGCTTAAATATTTTTACTGAAATTCATCGATCGACACACAGAATTGTGTCACATACATGAATTAGTTTACATATGCTTGGTACAGTGCTAAGAATCATAGCACTGTACCATTTTCATAATTCGTTAATTATCTACATTGCACGTCTTACTAATCGGTTCTCTTAAGCCATTATCGAGAATTAAATGTCAGTAAATGCATTATTTTTATACAGTACGTGCTACCTCCTTTATGCCACTTAAACTACAATTAAATTTTAATTCATGCGTAGTTCTTACGCCCTCTAAATATTAACCTCGCGATAGACAGAATTTTAAATAACGAATTCCTGTATAACTTTCTAATAACCCATAATAGTTATTTTTTGTACTTAGCACCGCCCACTGGTAAACAGTAAATACAATAAACTAGATCATATCTGTCTTTCGGTCCGTCCATTTGAACCTACGTCCATGCAACCATGCAGTACTTTCGTTGCCTTAAATTCTACCATATGTGTACTGCTGACCTCCACATACGGCTTACGATGTCTCCTATTTTAATAGCCAGAGTGAGCTCCGCCTTGAATTTACGGAAATTCACCTGTTTTGGCACGAAACAGCTAGCACTTGTCAACGGTGTTACTATGATCACATAATCAATGGCCTTCTATAAAAACTGTTGAATCCTCGACGATCTCTAAAGTTGTCCATATCCGTATCTCCTCTTCTATGGCTCCTCTTTTCTCTTAAGCGCCGTATCTTTGCTCTTTTATTAAACTCATAAACTTAGAATGAAGTACACCCAGTGTAGTAATTCTTTTGATTAATCTAGCTGTAAGGAACTTAGTTTTTCCTGTATTTTACCGAAGTTGATGAGACACTCATTTACTAATGGTGTTACTTGATCCGCTACCTGGAATACGAAAATAAACCATTACAAAACTAACCATAAATTTAAAAAAACCTTCGATTTAAAAATATGTATTGCCGATGTACTACATTATATATAATGCGAAAAATATTTGAATATAATGTTTCGTGTCGCTGAAGTGTATAAAGCATTCACAAATAACTGTTAAATACACATCAAAGAAAACTACATGCTCTACAGCTCCAGCATACGACACAATATTTAATATTCTTTTACCTTGACTAGAGCCCCGACGTGTTGGGAAAGACCTGCTGGCTCAGAATCTCCTGTTTGAAGTAGTCCTGTGATTTGCCGAAGAACCTAAACTTACATACAAATCATAGGTATTGGAACTTGCTTTCAGTGATTGATTAATGAAACCGTCAAGACAAAAGATGCTTAATTGAGGTTTTTCATTATCTAATTGGTTCCACAAATGTTTACAAAAGTTACCGGCATAAATCCAATGGTCACATTCCCAAATGTTCCTTCGCTGGGTGAAGCAAGGTCTTCTTCTTCTCGCGTTGGGTCCATAAGAATCCTATCAAAATATGAGCAATACATGTAAAAAAGTTTTAATCATTTCCTTTGTTAGCGCCCGATGGATCTAGAATTCGTTATAATTTGACTTAACACTATAATAATAGTTTTAATAAAAAGTTCAAAATGTAATGGAACAAACTGTAAGGTTAACTAATAGTATGATTTTCAGTAAGGAGCCGTTTACTGTTCTATCACCTATTTGTGGTTTTAAAGGTTTGATACCTTTTGAAGCAGATAATACTAATTGCAACTACTGCAGGTAGGTCCACCTTTGTTGCTAACCTGTTGCCATGAACTCTTAGATTGACTCCAATAACCTGGTCGAACAGTTCAATTCCAGATGACGCCAAAGCTAAACCACACGCCGTAAGCGCGCAGGAGAGAGCTCCGCCATCATTTTCCAAACAGATCACCTAGAAAATAATTTAAAACATGGATTTTTTTAGATATAATTCTATTCATTTTATCAATTTGAGCCACGTACGAAACTACTTTTTTTTCTGAAAAGCTCTTCTGGAAATTTCAAATACCAAGGTATGAGCAAATCCTCGTAATTTCGTTTGAACTCTAATTATTTCATTTTTTATGAGTATGTCTATAACTGCCTAGTAACCAACTTAGTAAAAACACCTACACTGCTTTATGTTAAAATCACAAAGTACTGTACTTAAGTGAAGCCACTTTGGGTTGTGTATTGCACTGTCTCATTTTAGCTGCCTTTATTCATCAGTGGATAAATAGACATTTTATGTAAAACAATACCTGGATATCGATTGCTGCTTTTGGGTATCTCCGAAGCTGGACAACTGGTCGCAGTGCTTCTTCGAGCCATTGCGAATTTCGCTGCTCTGCGAGAGTCAATGTATCAGCCCCACGTGCAGATACGCCAGCATTTGCGTATGGAGCAAATTTAAACACACATCTATAATTCGTTTAATAATAAAATAAATACATAATAATAAAAAAAACGTTACAAACAATTACAACGGCAATACATGTGAAACATGTTCATTTGGCATATATATATTATCTACACGTAATGGTTCCGTAAAATACTTCCTAGTAATTTCGTTTGAGTAAAGAGCTATAATATAGAGACACCCTTTTTTCAGTAGTAAAGCTTCTCCCGGTTGCTAAAAGGCGCTGATATTATAGTACAATGTTCGATATCCTGCTTTACGTTCGATAGTTAACCCTTTTGTCTTTATTTCACTAACTGTGTTCTACTTCTCATTTCTCTAGATTCGTCTTTACAGAAGGCAAAATGCGACAGCACTTCATTTACATCAATGTTCCTTTTATTTACCTGAGTTGTGCTTGGAGCGAAAATTCTTTCCGTCTAGTGACCTCCCGAGGGCCGAACACGGCTGCCACAACCTTTGTAGAACCGTGCTCAACAAAGCCAGAGCCTGATGTTTCACTTACAAGGCCTGCTTCTAGCTCTAAATAAACCAATAACATCATAAAGACATGATTAGCATACGTTCAGCATTGTTATATTTACGCCTAAGCGTATCATACCTAATTTTCCGTTTATTAAACGTGTTGGCTGTTACACAAATGATGACGGCAAGGATGACCGTAGGAACAGCCTATGCCTATTATTACTGATTGAACATCATAAAATTTAGTTGCTATTCTTCAAGTTGTCTGTTATGTTATATAAGGCCGTTCTATACGTATCATTTACGGACGAACTGTATAAATTGAGATTATTATTATTATAATCGAGTTTGAATTGAACGAGCGTAGCCACTCGAGCCATGCGCATTCTGCGCTTGTGCTTCATAAATTAAAACCTTTAATGTAGATTTTAAATGTCTAACAGCTCCACGTGCTCAACAAGTAGGCGTTCAATTAAAAATCAAAGAGGCAGTGATTATTGTCATTCGATTGCTTCATTTCTTGAAATTTTTTTAATAAGAATTTTCATCAATATGCAGCTGATCCATTTGGTTACTTATTTTCAAGTGAGGTATGATGGCACGTGAAGCTGATCAGATATTCAAACAAAGATTCATATAAGATTATTTCGGTACAATTGTACAACGAGGATTTGGAATAAAATTATGCATATTCAAATGTATGCAGTTTTTTATGTAATTCTTTTTTAACCTTCACTTAGTGGTTGATGTGATTATGGATATCTAAAAAGAGATTCCTATAAAAGCAGACCGAGCACAACAGATTTATTACGTTCTACGTTTTTTTTTATCATTTATAATTACTGATAATAATTTTATAATTTCTCATTCATTAGAAATGAATCTTTTAATGAGTCTGTCAATTAACATGCAGTAACTATTATATGTGCAATGCAAAATATATATAGAAAGATAAGAGTGGAAGAGACGACTCTTAAAGCGGGATCTAAACAATTGCAAGCATTGCGTGCTCTCCTCCTTGGAATATCAATATTGGTGAACTACGATTATTGTAATTCAGACCGAAGTATTTGATTTTGAAACTGAAGAAGCAGTGATACAATGAAAACCATGACTTGATTTCTAGTACCTTTCTCACTGTAGATTAACGTTACACTTGCAGTAGCACGATTTGAATTTATCCGCAATAACTGAGTATTTTCTCATGATTCAACGTACTACCAGATAAGCAAGTTATTATTAGAAACGATACGTTTCGAAAACGTTTTGCATTAAAATATATAATACTTTGATTTAGGTGTCGAGTGCGGATGCAAGATTATGGGCTCGGAAATATTAATAATCTGATGTGAGATTATGGTTGGTATGAGCCAGCTCGCAACAGGGTTCAAATTCTTGTTCGATTTCCCTAAATTTCGTCAGCTCGAAAAGAGTTATAATCCGAATGGATACATTTATTAAAATAAAATTAACAAAAATCGGAAAACAGCAGCTTCATTGAATAAAATAGTATTTAAGAAATGCTTCTGCCGAAATAGGATACAACAAATGATCACTTATCTTTTTTAATAAAACACTAATCTATACTGATGAAGAGGTATTTCATCTTTATCTAACATCCTCTAAATTTTACTGCAACCTTTACATACGAGTCGTTCAAAACGTGAGTGGCGCAAGATGTCATAGTAAATGGGACTCGGAAAATTGATGTTGTTAAATGTTCATAATTACTTACTTCGAGGTTTGAGCTCATCATCTTGCCGTCCATCGCCGCGTTGTAAGAACTAAAATCCGAAATGCGCTTAGGATTAAAATTAGATTAGAGCTTCACATAACCATTCAAAGGTTCATTGTCTCAGGTTTAAAATTTAAAAGTTTAGCGAAACTTTTAAATTTTTAAGACATGGCACACGAAGGGAGTATTATGTTGTAGTCTGCTTGTTAGCAATTTTTAGCAAGTTTAGCTTGTTAGCAAAGCTACCGAGCATCCATAAATTCATCATTCCAAATGCTCAAAATGACGATCACTTTTATTTTATGACAGTAACAATTTTATTATTAAATTCATTGTTGCGGAGTCAGTTTTCAGTAAATATTTAGCAAGGGTTATCGTATCTGAGTACTAAATATTGATAGCGAACGATTTTGCATAAATATAATTATTCTAATTTACCCTAAAATTGTAATTTTTGTCTACTCACTTTTTTAGGGTTTTTCGGTTGTTGTTGAAACTGTTGGTATGGAACCGAAGCAGGGGCCTTTGTCCTTTTGTCTACGTTCATGGCTGCAACTCAGATAAACCTGAGCGAGCACGGCTGTTTCCGAATAATTAATTTTCTAAGGCAATCTGTAAATAGTGGCACGCACTATCCTGCACGTGAGATGCTCGACTGGCAGCCCGACGACTGTTTCTTATTATTAATGTTTACACTAGCTGCCTGTTTACTATATGTGCAGACGACGTGATATGTCGCCATGTTTTAACTCATGCAAATATTTATTTCATTTAATGCGACTATTTAATCACTATTTAATACTTAGTTGCGCCCTCTTAGCTGCTCGATTAGTAGAGTGAATTAAAAGTATATATGTATATAACATAAAATCGATGAGCATAACGTGTGCTCTTGGAACTATTTCTATAAATATATAAGGAGCAGACAAATTTTTGACTCATATTTATTTTTGTGATTTTATAACTTAGATATTTTGGAAATTAATCATCCTGTCAACCCAGACTTTGGGGATTAACTGAAAATCGCACGCATGTTTTGATATATTTTATCTTTATTTACTTTGGCTTACCGGATGACAATATGAGATACTCTTCCTTGCTAGTGAATTCATCGCACGGCACGTTGTACTACCATTAATAGCGATTGCTAATCAATCGCCATAAACTGCGTTTAATATTTTTCGCTTTTCGTTTATCTGATCTGCCTCCGAAAACAGCTGCATCTTTGAATGCTTACTACTTTTTATTCCGGAAGATCGCGTAGTTGTAAACTTTTCCTTTTTTCTAACCACTCATAATTCACTTTTCTTTAATTGTTTCTTATCTGTATGCAAAGTGCTAAAAGAGGCCGCAGTCATTTAAACGGCGTCCTTGATGATCTTTGTGTACGTTTTAATCTTAGTAGCTATAGACATATCAACGTATTTGTCACCGATCGACACGACCATTCCGCCCAAGATTGAAGGATCTATCTTCTTTGTCAACAGAATTTTTTCTCCTTTTTTTGTAAAAGCAGACAGCGCCGTTTGAAGCTCTTTTTCACTCGCGTCATCCAAAGGCTGAAATATACAAATGGTGATATTTTCTGTAAAGCTATACGCAATAGAAATTGTGCATGAGAATGGAGTTTGCAAAGCAGGATATAAAGAAAACTATAGTATATGTGTGCCAATTTTATGTTGAAGACTATTTCCGGGTTTAATGTGAATTCTACTGTACTTGTTGTTGATGGTAAGTCATTTCGACAATATGGGATGTTAAAAATAAGTTGAACATAAACCTACACAAATCAATCATACCGCTGACTGTTTATGCGGAAAGAACAGGGTCTTAAAATGTTAGGATTTAGTGTAATTAAATGCTGGTTAAACAAATATTGGTTAAAAGTATTCGTGCTCCTAAGCGTCCTTTACGAAAATATCAAGCAAGTCAGCTCATCATTAATTTCTAACTCTGACAGAAACAACGTACTGAAATACAAAGATGTCAGTCATCATGTTAAGTAAAAAAAAGAAGCGCGTCTTACGCAACTTATTTATGTATATTTATTTATGTTATATTTATAGTTTACACAGATATTTTGCATTACGATGCGACACTTAGCCCTTTTTAATGTGAACGATCCCATTAACTACTACCCTGTGTGTTTAAAACTAAATGACAGCACCTTGCCTTGCATCTCTAAAGGGTGTTTTCGGGGTTCGTCATTCATATTTTTTATAACCCTGAAAACCTATGACCGTATAATGCCAAATAAATACCTTGGCAGTGGTGACCTCGCACAAAACCTCCCCACGCTCGGCAGACATGATTTTCGAAAAAGCAGTGATAATGGCATTCGCATAATTCATGCGGCCATTTTCCGCCATAGCGCCCAGCATGTTAATGGTTAGAGGGTTGTAGTTGTTTTTCTTCAAACCCTCCTCAATCGCTTGCTTCTTGAGGGTTTTTTTAATCAACGGGTTACATAGAAACTCCGCTAGTTTCTTATCTGACTTAATCGCGGCCTGTATAAAAAAGCGGAAGTACATCATGGAATATATGACAAAAATAATAAAAGATACGTGATAGGAACTTCAAAATTCCTTTCCTTTGATTTAACGAATTAAATGCTGTATGTGTGCATACAGATATAAGTATGACTAATTGTTCTTATAAAGAATCAATATTGCGTACTGGTTTTTAACACTTTAGCCTACTTGAAGAAGAAAACGAAAACTCGTATGTACCTTGACTTTAAGAAGGTCCTTCTCAACGACTGCAAGGTTCTTCTGTTTTGAAGCCGCGGAGTACAGTGCATTGGCATAGCGGCCTTCGATGCCAAAAATCGCAATCGGTGGCTGTAACACATGTCATTGTCGCATTAGGCATGTTGTATGTAATTCTTTTTAAACAAAGAGCGCTGTAATATAATTTGTAGTTTCCGTAAATATTCCACGTTTATATATATATATATATACCTTCTGATACCCTATATATATATATATAGGGTATCAGAAGAAATTATTTCAAAAATGAAATTCAGTTGTGAAGTTAAACGAGCTATACATTTAATTTCATATTTAATTTCTGTATTACATTCCTTTACATAATATATTTGAAACAGAAAGTGATTGACTAAAATTTAAAAGGATCTTTCCTGAATGACGATGAAAGCGACCTGACTAGCTGAACAAATGGTCGTCGGAATTAGACAAAATACCGAAGTCAATGAGGCATAATCATTATGTAAATGGAGTAATGCCGCATAAAAAGGCAAGTTCCATTCCTATTAAAAGGACATGCAAAATATACTAACATTGTGATCCACAATTGTTCACGGTAGCTGAATTATGGATAGGCCAAACTACAATAACGTAAGGTAAAATAACTATTTCAGTACAATGTTCTAGTTGTAGAAATGTTCATTGGGTAAGACTTAATTAATATCGCATTAGGACAGTAATGTGAACCCTTCTCGACTCACCTTAACAAGCTGCTTCGACGCAGCATTCATGGAGAATTGCCGGACGGCCTGTGGAAAAAATTTTAAAAAGAAACAAATAATATTAATACCACTTTTCACAAACTGTTATACAAATCAATTACAAGCCAAGAAGTACATATGGCTGAATTGAACATTTTATGACTATAAAAATAAAGTTTCTTCTGCAGCTTCGAAACACTGTTGAAGGTTGAACTGCACATAGCAAAACAAGTAAAATGATTACTACTTTTGCTCAGATGTTGCTCGGGTGAATTTATCATTATTAGGATAAGTTTCGAAAGAAATTCACACTTTTATATTGAACATATTCGTTAAACTTACATAAATAGCGTTCCTCTGAAGCAAAGCCATGGCTCGACAATGAGAGGTCACCACTTGTGAACAAATGAAGACCAAGAATCCTTACGACAACAGTTACTGTCGTAAACAAACAGAAGGACCGCAACCATTACGAAAGAATAAACGATCTTAGATTTTATGCTATAAAATAGGGAATATCATGATTTGCTTTATTATTATATATTAACTGAGCAATTTATAAAGCTAGGTAAGCCAGGCTATTAAAAGAGGCTCCTACGAACGCCTACCTGTGCGTAAAAATTTTGGGCGGCTACTGTTCTTTAGAATCGAACGAAGTTCATCCTAGCTAACGCATGGTAGCGCCCCGCGAATCTCGGAATTATTTCTGCTGTTCATAAAGTGCTTTTCTCTAAGCTGTGAAAAGTGGTTTAATATAGACTAAACCAGACTTGTCTCAGTTATCGTACTTATACACTTTCATATTTATTATAAAAAAAATTATACTATGCCACTCTACGAATTGCTGGTGGTTATGCGATCTATGAAGGAGGTAAGTCTGACTCCTAATCACAGTTGCATATATTTTGGCATAATGCTTTACACACTATGTATTTTTGAAGTATTTACATGCAAACCAATTCTCTTACGTATTTGGAATGTTAAGTAAAGTTATTATATCATTAACTACTCTATTAGAAACACGCGGTAGACCTACGTGATAATTTCACACTGTTTCCTCTCCTGCCTCTTTATATTCCAGACCCAAACGATTGCTACTATGAAAAGAATGGGACAGTTACTTCTCGACAATGGAGCACTACTTCGTTCTATCCAAAATATCGGTCTAAACCGTGAGCTTGCCCACAAAACCTCGTCTCATGGAAAGGTATTTTTACGATGTGATTTTAGGTAAAATCCGTGGTAAAAAATTTAAAAAACCAAATTTTTGTAAATAATGAAAACAAGCTGCATACACCATGAAAGAAACCCTATCATCGCGTTCTATATGCAAGCTTATTTCACCTGTATCTTGTATTGTTGTTTCTTTCACTGAAACTTATTTCCTTTGTAATGTAGCTTATGGATTCGTATACTTCCTATTGAAACTTAATTTAAAAGAATGTATTTAAAAGAAACCACATGATATGTTAGAGATTTTTTTGTGAGCCGTTCATGTAATATAACTAATTCGTTGATATACATCATTCTTTTATAACGATATATACATTGATGTTGATGAGTGCAGTTAGCTTATTTAACATATATTTATTGTTTTAAAGTGAGTCGAGCTCCAACGTCAACGTACCTCACAAGCTTACGGCACGGGATAGTTATTTATTTTCGTTGTACGTGTTAAAAAATAAATAATAAATACCTGGCAGATTCACAACAGGCTACGATGTCTTACGTTAACGGCTTACCATGACACATTGATTCACTCGGTTTGTAAGTTGGCCTATTTTGTTATTCTTACGGTGGACATTATCCAACAGGTCCATCATACAGGCTCTTTCATCTTGTACAAGTACGACGCGCCCATTTCCCTATTGCAAACATTGCTGAAAGAAGTCAGACTAGACGTAGATATTATTAAAGGTACGTGAACCTTGTGGAAGGTTTTTGTGCAACGGAATTATACTAGATGCACGAATATGCAAGCAGATTTACATTGAATATTTTTATTCTAACATTTTAAAACGATCTATCCTATTGCCTTTATTGGACGCATTCTAAAAAGATTTACTGGTAACCTACTGGAAAAATAAGCGACTGCGCGTGTTTTGCATACCATAATAAAGACAGTACGGACTTGGACTAGATATTTGGAGATGAGTGGTGATGTGTTGATATATTTATCTTATTCGTTGTTGATAGAGCTGAGTGGACTTGTCCAATATAAGCAAAATACAATTCATATGAAGAAACGTTTGTTGATAATTCATATGGTGGGAAATAAGCGAAGAAATTATGCGTTTTCATAAAAAAGTTTTTTAGAGTTTTATAGCGAATGAGGAGGAAAATAATGTATCACTGCATATATATTGCTAAGGACAATCTTTGATTTTCCCTTAGTGATAATATGAAATTGCCTTAATTACGAATATTTTAATTTCTAAATGTTAAAATGTCCAAAAAAACACTGACATGTGTTGCACATCGTGCATTGGATCATTACTTGGTATGATATGGTATTATATTAATCACCCAAGTAACCCAAATGTCTCATGTTTTCTGCGTTCGCTATATATAGCTTAATTTTGATGGACTTCATTAATAAGTAAAATGTACGTTTAAAGTCATTTCATTTTTTTAAAGTTGGGTGTGTTCAGGTAAAGAAACCGAAGGACATAAAGTGCACATTAGAAGGTGAACTACAGATCCCAGCGAAACGGCCATCTGTTCAAGAACTTATGAAGACAGGTGCTCGTCCGTCGAAGCCTGGTTACGGCGGAATCGTTGGAGGGCCGTTTTAAATACCGATAATATTATGATTCACTTGTAATAATATTTAAGTAGTATTTTTCATATTGGAACTATCATAGTCTTCGTTTAGCTAATGTTAATCAAAGCTTCGTATGCTGCAAAGTTGCGTATGCATTAATTAGTAGAGAGGTCGTAAGTAATTTAGTAGTTTTAAGAGGAAATAGGATTAGTCTTTAAACGCAACGAATTTAAAACCGCTGTAAATTTTAAGTGGAACGAGCGCTGTGCCATGAAGGGTTTGGAACTGAAATAAACATATTTTTGTGTAAACAAAGACGCTTCAAATATACTAACTTTTTTGGTCACTTAAATTTTATCAGAGGTGGTATATTAAGGCTATTGTTCTAATATATCTGGAAATTGCTTATTATTTACAAGTTTTTCTTTTACATTTAAAAATACCTGTAAATCCCTGGAAGATTGACCTAGCCAGTGCTCGTCCAGCGCCTTGTGTAACTTATTTTACGTACCGTGAACAAGCGACTTGTGGCACGGAGAACTGTTTTGGTAAGAATGCACTAGGCTAAATTAGACAGCTTCGTATGAGTGGTGTCCTTCATATGGCCAATATTGGCCGCATAATATACTCGCTCATTCTAGGTAAGTGATAAGAAACATTTTACACATATCCTCAGAAGTAGTTACCGTACACTTCCGGCCGATTGAACCTTTGTTAACCGGATTTCAGCTAGTGGGCTCGTCTCAGTCCATTCCTTTAAAATTGTTTTCATTCGAACGTGTAGCGCTGGATTCACATCCGTTACCGGCTTGCTATTCCAAACTTTAACCTTTCCTCTTCATTTCTAAACTGTTCTTCGACACGTCATTCATTACACCGGGGTTAATCCGTTGCAAGCGAACGCGGCATATTTTGGAGAAGGGCTTATTCATCACCAAATATTTACGTAATGCGTTAAGATTACACACGTGCATGCTATTCGATGCGTCTTTGTTCGGCTGTTTGCAAAAAAGTTAATGAAATTTTGCTATAATTTCTTTCTAAACCATTTATTCGTACTTTTAAGAGAAATCGCTAACAGTGATTCAATTACGCTCCAATTCAGAAATCTTGCGAGAAGTTTAAACTATCGGGATACATGGGGAAGGACTGCATAATGTTAAATCCACCTTGATGTTTGTAACCTGAATCCTAAATCTTTCACAAAGGTAAACACAATACGGATTGCCCTTTCATCCATATTGACAAAATACACCTCACCTGACGCTCTTCCCTGGGAAATATGAGAACAACAACCTATTAATTAGAGGTCGCGACTGGTAGTGTCTAAATCAAGTTCTCATTTTTTTTTATTATTTTGTATGTCTTACCGGGTCAAACAAGCGTCAGTAAAAAGCCCGGATTTTGTTAGCTAAAGAGCAATCCGTGGTCGAGTTTGTGATACTATACTTACTTTTTTTCTACTATCCGTAAGTTAATTGTCTGATCATTAGAATTTACGGTCTGTATTTTGCAAGCGCTTTGTACTTTGCTTCAATGTGAATGATTACTGTCCATTATCCTAAGAAATCAGGTGCTACCAATACCTTAAAAGGCGCACCAGCCCATGAGTCATACCGCGTGTTCAAATGGTAATAACGATTTTATGTTGTATGAGAACGCTTTGAAGGCAGGGTTCCCTTTGTATTAGGGCAACGCTGACGCACTCCAGAAAATGCCAAATCTGTTCCAATGCATTATTACAGGTGGGTAGATGCTCGTATACGGATATGACGCGGGAACAAAGGCATATTTTCTATATATATATATATATATATATATATATATATAAAGTACCACTTTCAAAGCGCCTCCAGCCTAAAGAAACTGCAAAATTCTAATAGAAAAAAACAGACTTTTGATGGTATCTTTTGACTATCGCAGGGTGATTCAATGTTCATTCATACTAATTGGTTTTACTATCACACGAAATATGGTCACGTTAAAAAGACTGCATAACAAGGTTATCTGTAGGCTTAAACCCTGTAAAACAAGCTGTAAATCCTTCACAGCAGTAGCGCGGCAGCTCAGATACTAGCACCACGACTTAGGTAAAAAGAAAACTCGATATCTGTTTTTTCTAAACTCTCGTATTCACCAGATCTAGCTTCTGTAACTTTTTTCGTTTTCACAAAGCTTAAGGTGTACTCCGAAGTAAAAAAACTTAGGGTTTTAAAGAAATCCAAGAGGAAACTAGAACAAAGTCTATTTCTATGGTTGAATTTGAAAAATCTTTTATAAGCTGGGCAAAATGGTGGTTTACGCGCATTGAATACGGCGAAGCAATTGATACAGGGGCAGGTTCTGAATACTTTTTCGGCTCAATAGAATATTATTGTGCGTTTGTGTCTGCAAGAAACATCTTCAGAAGAGTTGAACAGAGATTTCAGGGGGATGGAAGACGTATAAGCTACTCTATGAGCTATATCCAGTTGTACTCGTGTAATAAAGCAAGTAGTATTATATGAAAGTGCGAGTTGTCACTCCATTTAGAATTACTTATTCTCCGGCCATAATGCATGATAAGTGTAAAGCCCGTCTAATTTGGCTCATTACTACTGTCTATTTTCAGTCAGCATGTTGAGGTAAGTACTGCAGGGTCGACTCTTTTTCACGAATAGATTTGCACATTTTGAAATAAAACAGCGATTTTTGCATAACTCAAGAGATGTAGCGCAGTATTGTGTTTATCATATCACATTTACACAAAAGTTTGCGTTCAACCACTAACTTATGAACCGACGTCCCATGGTCCAACCTACAAAATCTTTTCTACTAAAATCTATCACTTCTTGAAGTATGTTGGTGTAAATTTTAAAATACCTTGTATGTGTACTTGGCGTATGTCTGTGTACGAAAGAGCAATACACACTACCCCGTTCAAGATTTTTGAATTACCAGTTGTGCCCTTTTATTGCGTACAACACTAACACTCAAATGGAAGTATCAGATTTTATAAAATACAACAGTGCTAAAACAATTTTGAATTAGAAATATGTACAGTGGGCAATTCAGTGCGGTCAACGAGAGTTCTAATAATCGGGAATGCCAATGTGTTTTTTTTTTTATTTATTAGGCTGTTGCAAATGAAACCGGGGGACTTTAAAATTGAATAAACTTTGAACTACGCGTCGTTAGCACACGGTAAACCCTTCAGTCTTGCAGAAACTTGCGAGTGGAAACCGCTTGAATTTACTCCAGGAGAAATAGGTTCAAAAGGAAAAACATCCTTTGATCTCGAAATTCAACGTTCAGTTGTCAAGTTTTTGTCGCTCGAAGGTAAATAGTTAAGATTGATTAAGAAATTTGCCAAAGTGTAGTACGTGTATGGTGCAAAAGTTTCGAGGACGTAGATTGGTGTGTTAAATATTAGCGAATGAGTGACCAAGTGTCAGAATCCCAGAAATAAGAATGCACTTGCGCAATCGGAAAAATTTTCCATAAAAGCAGAGCATAAGATCGAAGGGTTTTATTGGCTAAAACTGGCATGTCATCTAACGTGTTACAGAATTATCACTAAAATAAGGAAAATGCGGAGCTTGAGCAAAAAATAAGTCTTTGTGAATTGATTCCTGGCCAATTGGAAATGTGTTGGTGTATTCCACGTGAAATATGCAGAATTTTAGTCAACAAAAAGCTATATACGCGGCATGGTTCAATCATTACTGTCAGCAGGAGAGGAACAAGACGAAAGAATGGTGCTGTCCTGGAGAGAAATAGAGTTGGGTGGCAGAACTGAGTACGTAAGTAAATAACGGTTGGACGTAAGTAAATAACGGTAATTGCAACGGAGAATCAAGGGCATCTATAAAGCACCCGCCGAAAATGGAACAACAGATGCAGCCCGCTGTCTTGAGTTTCTCAAGAGACTCATGAACCGTTGGCACAGTAATCGAAAGCACGTGCTGTGGCTAATTGATGACCACGCCAGACCTCATCGCCATGCCTCGGTTATTTCCTTGAGAAAGTAAAGCAATCTCAAATGTTGGCTTTAATCCACCTATTTTCCCGATCCAAATCCATGAGATTACGAGTTTTTCCATGTGCTAAGAAGAACAACTGATGAGCAAGCATGACTCACTATTGATTTACTTCAGCAAGCCATTGATAGGGAAATTATACACAAGAACGCGAATGGTTTTGAAAACGCTGGAGCAAGTGCGTAAAAAATAAAGGACTGCTCTCTGACATATATTAAAGTATGATTCTAGCCATTTCAAAAGTTATTCAGTTTCAAGGTCTGCCTGATTTGTTTGTAACAGTACAATAGAAGTAGAAATAAATCACCCTTCTAATTGTAGGAAAGGATCAATCTTTTAAAAATTAAATGGAAAACTAAACTGTAACCATTTGGTGATTGATCTACTTGCTCGCTTATATAATATTACAACTGATGGGTGAGGACATGATCATCTCGTGAAGCACCAGACGCCCCTTCCTTCATGGTTAATTTTCGATACGGAAGGTAAAGTTAATAAAAAGCCTAAAGAGAAAATAGCTACAATTTTATTCCTTCTATTTTAATAGATCCAATGACTAAAAAGCTGTACCTGATTATTTTAAGATCTACATTATTATCCCTCCCTGTAGAAACTTTGAAAAGCCATGCGGATGATTACCGCCCAATGGCCCTCCTATATTTTACTTGACAAATCTTTTGCAAATTATATATTTACTAAATTTTTATCATGGCATAACCAAATGTATGTTTACATTAACTTAAATGCACAATATATGATACAAAGAAGACGGAATTGAACGAAAAATTCAATAGGGCAATTAGAAAGAAATAAACAGGACCTTTAAAATTAAAATTAACAATGAACTGAGTTCCTAGAAAACTTACTTACACTTGTTTTCTGTAGTTCTTGCTTACAGTCGCCGTTATATTCTGTTTCACTTTAGTTTACAAAATGATTCCATCTGCTAATAAAGATAGAAAGAAGAATCACCACGCAGATAATCTTAAGTTTTAAATATCCTTATTGAACAAGAATAATTAAAGTCCTCTATAGCGGTCTGTAAACAAAATGTCAAAATGATATTTTAAAAACGATATACAAAATGTACTCGCTTTTGTTTTGGTAATGGGTTTTATATGAATATACTGGATATGAATATAAGAGTCTGATTCAAAGTTAGATCAAATTTGGGAGCTAAAATCTATTCAACCGATACAAAACCGTTCCGCAAAAAATGTAAAGGCCCAGATCTAGATACTGCTGGGATGTCTAGAGACTTTATTTGAAAAAAAATAGTTGCTCAAATGTATAAAGCGTGCTAAAAAACAATCAAAAAGCGCGG